TTCCTGTCACTCATTGGCACTGTTATTTCTTTAGTTCGAAATCATCATATTTTTTAGCGAATCAAAACTTGTAATTTTCAGTTCAGATAACAAACCTTCATAATACGTCCAATCCTGGAAGTAAAATAACTTCAAGAGACACCAGGATTCTTCTTAATTTCTGTAAACAACCTCCTAAAGTTTTCCGCAGTTATTTTAAATCGTTTGAGGACACTTTTTATATGAGCATAATTCTGAAATTTTTTCCTATGGTTCCCTTGCAATCAACTTATCTCTGATGGTCAAATCCCAAGGGAATGAGTTACCCATAAGCTTTATTCGACCTTCAACAGTTTCATTCGTCTCTCGAACAGAACTAGAAATACACTGGCATGATCTTCTTCAGGCTTGAAATCTGGCAAAATCTTCTGACAGTCAAGTTTAGCTACAAGACTTTGTACAGGAATATGTTCTCGTTCCTTTTGAATTTATAGGGTCAAACTTAACTTTTCCAGTTCATATTCCTAATTTTCCCCTTCTTCTTCATCCTTATCCCTCTCACCTTCATTTTTTCCTTTATATTTATGTGTATAAATTATATTATGTATAATTACAAGCTAATTTATAAAATTATAATGAACCTTTCATACAAAATCCATGATTGCATGTATATGAGTGTATATAATTCTTATTATACTTGTATTTCAAAAACTGACTAGATGTAGCAATCACCGAAAACATAAATAGCATTCCAACTGAAATGCACATCAATGCATGCAATATATTGATTTTCTTCTCCAGATATGTGTTGATTTTGAAGATAAAATGACTGAATACCTTTACGAAAATACACGCATATTTTAAGCTAATAACTTTTGCTTCAGTTTGTTATGAATTATGTTCTTGACCGATAAGCTATACATGATGTATCTACATTTGATCTACTTCATTCAGAATTAATGTCAGTGAAAATACTTTTGTTGTGTTATACAACTTGAAATTACGTTTGGGGATCCTAATCAGAAAAAGGCGAAATTTTATAATTTCCTTCATCATACATTAAATTATGCCAAACACACTCAGCCAAGAGATAGGTCAAGATTTATATGAAACTGTTTTACATTTTACACATTTTTTGCTGTACTTGATTTAAGCTTATCTTCTGGAAATATTCTAACTTGAACAATTGACTCCTCACGTTCTATTACAATTTTCGTTAAGAAGTAAGAAAAACTTCATTTGAACTTTTTTTTCTTTTTTGGTATTAACAGGAACTGTTGACCTAAAAAACGATCTTGTTCTAGACGAAAGATATCTTTTATTTTTGACGTACACATCACATAAAAAGAAATATTCAGCTATAATTCTTGAATATTACAGCGCATTGTCTATTTCGTAACTTGTAGCTTTAAAAATAATAGATGGGGCGAACGGCCTAACTCTACGTACTTTTACTACACTGAAGTAAAAACGTAACTACTATGGCAAATATGCCAACCCGAGTTTTTGAAAATATACCCTATTAATGCAGAAACTCACTGAGTCATTTCTGGCTATTTAATTAGTATTCAACATTACATTGTTCATGCAAAAAGTGCTAAACCTGTAAAAGTTGTGTCAAGAAGAATTCCAGCACATACTCCTGCAGAAGGAATTAAGGATGAAAACTGCTGATATTTTCAATGATGTGAACGTAAATCCTATATACAAATTTGGTATACGAGTTCAAATGCCTTTGTTCCAGGTCCACTTAGTAAACGATCCTGGGCAAAGAAAATTTATGATATCCAAGCTTTATTGTGTTTTCAAGTCTCTGTTGATGTATATAAGCTAAAGAGAGGTGTAGGTCAGTGCCAGAAATGCTAGCATTCTTTCACTCCTCGGCTGAGGGTAAACTCATGCTGAGTTGCGTTTAATGTGCTGGTGATCACGAAAGCTCTCAATGTGAATATAAAATGGATTAAAAAAGTACTGCAATTCTAATTTGGAACATACAGCCAAAAATTTTAAGTTATGCTTAAATATCCGTTAAATATGAAGAAAAGATCTCAAGATAAAAACCACGTGGCAGAACCAAGCACGAGGAAGGAACATTTCCAACTCCTCCTTGAAGGTGAAGTAGATAAAAAATTCGGAACACAAGATTGCTTCATATAAAATAGAAAAAACTCAGACCGCTGTTAAAGATAAGCCTTCAAAAAGTCCATTTGAAAAAGTTCCTGATTAGAGAAAGGACCTGAAAAAATATCTCTGAAACCAGAAAACAGTCTTCATATTCAAAAAATGTTTCTAGTATATTTATTGATTTCTTAAAAATTTTAAATGAAATAAATACAGTACAACTCCAATTATCCGAACTTCGACTATACAGATCCCCGATTATATGAATCGCTTTCAGAATCAACTGATGAAGGGAAGGAAAAAAGTGGAAACGGAAAAAGAAGCTCAACAAAAGGTAAGGGAAGAGACAGGAGAAGATGAAGATGACGTGTCAGTCTAGGAATTAAGAAACTTTCTTTTGAAAATTCTTGAATTTTCGGAAGTTATTACTGAGGATACAGCAGAATGGCTGGTGTGTGATTCGTCATATTCTGTGTTTCAAATTTTAAATGATGATGAACTTATTGAAAGTGTGAGAGAAGAAAGCGTTGAGAAGGAAGGTGACCTTAATATCGACGCTGAAGCAGACACGAGACCTTCAACTAGTGAAGCGTTTGCCGGCCTTGAAACTGCGTTGAAGCGGATGAAGCTTCAACCCGAGTGTGACCACATGCAACTACTTATTGTCAAGCGGATGCGCGACAACTTGGCTGCCCGAAAACGGAAGAAGACAGTCAAACAGCGTATTTTGACCGACATGTTAAACAGCAATGGCTTTTAGCACTTGTAAGTACTGTGCAGTACACTAATATGTACATAACAGTGTTGCCTTTTAATTTTAATTAATTAAGACCTCTTTTTCTTTAAAAATAATTTCTTTTTCCCATTTTCAACATACAGTACGTACATTAATTAATTAAAGTGTACGTAGACCTTCGGAAAGAAACCAATTATCTGAATAGGGTCCGGTCCCAATTGATTCGGATAATTGGAGTTCTACTGTAATATATTTTTGGATTACACCATCTTTGATACATACAATAACTATCATAACTAGAAAAAAATTAAGAAAGCCCCGACTCCAATTGACAAACTATTAGTATTATTTTAGAAATTTCGGTCAATTTACTTGGAATATCAAACTAGTTTTATATATTTATTTCTATTTTTCTCAACTTTTTGTTGGCAAATTACTGTATACATTTTACTTTGTTTTTGGTAATTTTAAAATTTTCGTTTGTGATATAAATGACTTATTACGTGGTCTGGAATGTTTCGTGCTTGCGCTATGAATGAACATTATTATGCCTGTTTGTTTACCTTCATGTTTTCTAACAACCACCTTCACAGCTTGCCTTTTTCATCTTTTGGAGACTTTCAAAAATTTTATCAAATGCGGCCTTATCCTTATTTAGAAGTTTGAACATCTTCGCATCTTTTATATGTTGCTGCGAAGTTATTGTTGACATTCTCACAAGGATTATTTTTCGATGGGAGTTGCACCGTTATTACAAGCATAGGCAAGTATGACAACAAGTTAAATTACTTTCACTAATGAAATACTAGGGCCATCTGGCGAGGGAAAAATACTCTAACAGGTGTACTGTGACTCTAGATTCCAAACAGGTGTACTGTGACCGGGAAAAATCAAAGTTGTATTTCAAAGCTGAAAGTTTACGTGGCAAATCTCCAACAGGATTTCATAATGCACTGCTTGAAGTTTGTGACTCAGACAGTTTTCAGTTGGACATCTGACTTTCGAGAAGAACTTATCAGACATATACAATGACAGAAAGCCAGGAAGGCCGAAAATGCCAACAAAGGAAAGGGATAGTTATAACGGATTACAAAGAAAATAGACTGTATGCCACATTCAAAGAAATGTCACAATCCACAACGATTTCAGTATCGCTATATTATTGTAGTTTAAGGAATGGTCTGCAAGAGAAGAAGTTACGCTCTATCGGTTTGTAACCGCTTGGTACGAATGCCGTGAAACATAAATTTGACGACAGAGGTAAAAGAGTTCTGTCTTGAATAATCTGACGAAATGTTGATCAGATACATTGAACCATAGTAAAAACTGCGGTCAAAGCAATAAAGAAATACGTCCTTCCCACGAAACCAAAATTTCGACATGAACTTTTTGCATAGCTGAAGTAAATATGCTGTATGTCTAAAATTACCAAGGTATTATTACGGAAGATATATTTATAGCTGAGAAAAGTGTGAATACTGTACATTATAGTGAACGGTTCCGAAAATTGTGCACAAAAGCCACTTGACTTGCTTAGGGATGGCTATTTTGAATGCTAATACACGTACTTTCATGGTATAATTGTAAAACATGCTCGGCTAGCAGTCGAACGGCCCGGAGTTCGAATTCCACAGCGCACATTTTTTATGCATCGCGCACTACACATTTTTCATATTACCTACTTTGACAAACATAAAGTTAAGACGATCTCCTGACATTACTTGTTGCATGCGAGATGCATTTAAGAAGTCAAGGATTTTCATGCGGCTAGCAAGCCGTAATTAAAGGGCCTGAGAATCACTGTTTAGCCATGCTTGTTTTAGAATGTCATCGAAGATTTTGCTAACAGAAAAATAAATAAAATAATACTTAAGAATGCTGAAATAAAGTTTTATTTCAAAAGTAAACAAAGAACTTTTATTTACTTTCTTGTATACTGTTTTCACATTTTATAGATTTATTGGTATGCACTGAGATGGATGGTAAAAGAGGCTACGCCGCTATATTTACGGACTACTCTTTCAGACAATGAGTAATTGAAAAATAACGCAGAAGGTAACTGATTTTGACACACCAGCTTTCATGACTGTCGTAGAAATACGTAAAATACCAAAATTAGTAACGCGATTTCAGCTTTTACTTGAATTAATACAATCACTCACAATTTATTTATATTGACAACAATATAACATTTATTAGTAAAACATCAGCATAAATGAGGTACATTATACACATAAATTCTTATTACAAAAATTAAAAATATAAGCATTAATTGGTGAAAATTAAGTTGCTCCTGGATTCCTCATCAGTTCTTGTAGGCATCCTACAGCTCCGAAATAACCCTAAAATATAAACATAAAAGAATAATAATAACATGCAAAATATTTAAAAACTCTACAAGAAAGAAGCATCTGAACTATAAAATTACAATAGTAAGAAAAGATGGTACCTGACACCCATCGGTACACTAAGCGCACAGTAAAATGCGCGACTTAGATTGAAAAAAAAAATACCGTACCTTAAAAAGTTAATTAGAAGACAAATAAAATATTATTGTTGCATTATGTATTAGAATGTTCGTGGTGACCGAAAAATACAATGTACGAAGTTGCAGAAGATTTTAAGGCATTTAAAACAACAACAACAACAACAAAAAAAAAAAAAAAATCTGTTTATCTAATCTATATATGTTACCGTCAAAGTTTAAAATCCGGCATTCTACAGAATGCCTAGGCATTGTAAACTAGTCGGCAATGTATGAAACAATTCAAATTTCACACATTTTCTAGGCATTCTATAGAATACCAAATGACAAACAGACAAAGTATGAAATACACTTCCAATCTGTTTCGAAGAACCGAAACTACTTACCAGAAGTTAATAAATGATGTGAAAAAGCCAGAATTATTACCAAGAAGGGACTACTGGCAGCAGAATCGCTAGAATGTGATGTTTGTGGAAACCAAAAGTACATTCATTTTTTCTGTTAAAGAAAGCGTCAGTACTATACAGTATTACGTCACGGACGCTGAGTTATTTCCCATACTTCATGAGAGCTCATTTGAGTACTGCACACGGACGACGTGACAGAATGTTAAAAGAACTTTCAATCAAATACAAGAACGTTACACGTAATGATACGGAACTGTACAACCACCTATGCAAGCCCTGCCAGAAAAAAAAAATATTAAAAAGGGCATTGTTGTGAAATTTACGATTGTTTCTGAATGTAATTTCCGTTGTCAGGTAGATCTTACTGATCCCCAGTCTCAGCCAGATAGAAAACACAAAATTATTATGTCGTATGAAGATCATCTCACTTTTTTTTAAAACATATTTCGAATAACAGTTTTTTAATGGCACTCTTTCATTAAATTGTCAAATTAACATTTTTAGTTTTGAGGAATGAATGTCTTTTAACCTTATCATAACTTATTTTTCATACTATGCCTACAGAGTATTTCTCATTCTACGGAATACCTAGGTATTATTTACAATGCCTAGAAGTAGTAAAGAAATTATGTAATAATTCTCATATTTCATACTTTGCCTATGATGTCCCGCATTATATACAATTATATACATTCTATAGAATGCCGGCGTTTCATACATAGCCGCTAACACATATAATAAATGCAGAGTGATCAGCGAATAAGCCCTGATTTCAAAATTAAATATCTCTATAACAAAGATCAATAGAATTATGCGGTAAACTGCATGTTCATTAGCAAAACTGTAAAAATGGTGTACAAAAGTTTAGAAAATTTAGTTACGAAAATCGTTAACAGATGGCGCTCTAATCGCAATGACCTATTAATAGCCTTTAAAAATGTACTTTGAATTCAAAACTGATCAGTACGACTGTTGGCTAGTGAAAAAAGGCTCAATGTTCAATTGGCCCCGATTCAATGTTCCAACTGGCCCCGATGCAAAAGCCATTCGCATGCTCTTTGCGAAATTTGAACGGACTGGCAGCGTGGCTGATGATCGAAAGGGAAATGTTGGGCCTAGGCAAACTGTAGTCACTCCTGAAAATTCAGCCAAAGTTTCTGGAATTGTTCAGCAAAATCATAGGAAAAGCATTCGACGGATGGCATCAGAGACAGGTTTGAAGTACACGAGCACGCAAAAAATATTAAAAAATAGCCTACGGCTGTTTCCATACAAAATCCAAAGTCATCAGGCCATACCCATGAAAGCTGTGCAACAAAGGGTTGGCTTTGCGAATCAGATTCTAACAATGGTCGACAACCACAGATTTGATGTGAGCTGCATCTGGTTCACAGATGAGGCACATTTCCATTTGAATGGAATCGTTAATAAACGAAAAATCCTCATTTGTGTGAAGAGAAAGCACTGCATTTGCCTAAATTTACTGCATCTGCTACGGTATGCGCCTTAGGCATTATTAGATCATTTTTCGTACGAGAAATGATGACTACTGAACGTTACGTTATAATTTTGGAACAATTTGTCAGCACTCAACTAGCGTTAGAGGATCGAACAGGTATCGACTGGTTCATGCAAGATGGGGCTCGACCACATCGAACAGATAAAGTTTTTCGCCTTCTTCATGAATACTTTGGAAATAGAGTAATTGCGTTAGATTATCCGCAATTTACTGACACAGGAATAGCTTGGCCTCCATATTCTTCCGATCTGAGTACTTATGACTTCTTTCTGTGGGGCGCATTGAAAGACACTGTCTATCGAAACAATCCCGCTACTTTAAATGAGTTTGAATCATTGATTGGTGTTGCATGTGATTCCATTTCCGTCGAGAGATTGCAAGACGTGATGTCAAATTTCATTGTTCGTTTACACCACCTCATTGTTTCGAACGGTGAACATTTTGAAAAATTTGTATTTTGATTGCAAAGGCTGCTTCACTTTATTGTTTTTTTTCTCCTTTCAGAGAGTTTTCAGCGCAGAGCGCCATTTGTTAACGATTTTCGTAACTAAATTTTCTAAACTTTTGTACACCATTTTTACAGTTTTGCTAATGAACGTACAGTTTACCGCATAATTCTATCGATCTTTGTTGTAGAGATATTTAATTTTGAAATCAGGGCTTATTCGCTGAGAACCCTGTAGAATGGTCTTCTTAGAGGTTATGTAGCACAAGTGTTTTAAGAAATTTTAGGTAAAAAAAATACTTTATATATATTTATTCTACAATAAAAGAATATAAAATTAAAACCTAAATACATATTGATAACGGAGAGCACATCTTAATAATTATTTTTTTTTTATCATTATTATGGATAACGTTAAATATGCCAACTCGATCTATAGACACTGGTAAGGAAATCTCAGATATCAAGTACAGCAATCAACTCCTTAAGTCGTTTTCTTGCAGAAAGTAATTAGCGGTTTGATTAGATCAGCGTCATGTTCAATATACCAGTACTCTCCATGTTTTCCTGGAATGAAACAGGCTTAATGTTTGGTATATTCCTGATGACTGACTAGCTTCCAAGACATTTTTGAACAAATGTCCCGGAGGCGGCGAAGTATTCTCGCGACCATGCTAATGTTATCCGAATATAAAAAGCACACGGGGATTGTCTGTTTAAAGGGAGGATACCTTTTAGAAGAATTTTTTAAAGGAAACTGGTTTGTATTCAAGTTACGCATTGTGAAAGTTTTACATGAAGCCAGGCCTTTCACCTGAATTTGAATTTGGATTCAACTGTCAGTGGTTTTAATGATATAGGAATATGATGAGTATCTAGACATCAGGCGTTTCGATAGAGAAATCTGTGTGTGGAATTACAGGGAACGCATTTACAACTAGCTGCCATGAACGGTGGATATGAATTTCCTGCGTCATTTGCGGAAAATTCGATTGCGCAAGATTCAAATGAACGCAGATGCAGCAGATGGCGAGTGTACAGTGATGATTCTGCCTCGTATCGTGTGAGTCAAATTGTACTTTTTTTCACAAAAAGGACACTACTTCTGTCTTATGGGTGTAACGTTACGCATTTCACAATCGCCGTAACCTTTTGAACAAGGCATATAATACGAACTGAACATCCGCGTTATTTCAGCCACTGGTCGGAAGTGTAATGAGTTTGTGAGGTTCAACACATTCTTTAGTCGACGAGTTTTATGTCGCGCGCCATCTAGAATTTGATGCACATATGCTGACGAACTCGCACCACTTCATGTTTTACTGTGAAATTTGTCTCAAAAGCCATCACAACTAACCCCATTTCACTCAGCGCTGTCTTGTATTTTCAGCCAATTGCTGCTAAGGAATTTTGTTTCTCCAATATGGTAAATAATTCCTGTACAAAGCGCTTCCGTCACTAATATTTGTACCATGGTATTTGGCTTATAATCTTCATGTATAAACACTCTTATTACTGCAAAAACAACTTGGCAGCTGTCGAACATGTCCAAACTCTATACCTCACTACTCAAGTAATAGTCACTGAAGTACAGAATGCATCCCACCTTGCATCTTATCATACAACGACAGTGTAACTCGCGAATGCATTAGTTTGCGAAACTAGGGCTGGGAAACGCGCTTTCATACACCCTGTTCTGAAAATTTCAGGCGGGAGCGAATTCAGCCTATTTCGCAAAGACCCACTTTAAAATGAGTTCCTGCTCACACAGGGATTCAAGGCAATGAAGCCGCTGACCTACTGGCCAAGCAGGCAGCCAACTGCACGGATATATTAGAAAGACCAACTAAACTTCCTTGGTCTCATATTAAGCGAACAACTTTGACAAGTCTACTACAAAATTGGCAAAGTAGATGGACAGAGGCAGAGGTAGGACGAAGGACATTTCGCTTACTGCCAAAAGTTAACATGGAAATAAAAACCCACTGTGCTAGCCTAACACAGTTCTTGACAGGTCATGGACCATTCCTAGTATACCTGAACAGATTCAGACTTAGGGATACTCCTTTCTGCGAATGCGGAGAGGAAGGCGACATGGACCATTATTACTTCCATTGTGTACATACAAGAACCTGGCACTTGAAGAAACCAGCGGACTGTGCCTGGGCAAAGTGGACGTCTAACGCACTCAAAAATAGAATAGCCCTTGATAAAATAGAGAAAATCTCAAGACACTGCCTAAGCAGAAACAACCGTGAATAATATTATGTTTCAAATGTTCAGAACTTAAAGCAGATAACCAGAATAACGCTTAGTGCCTGCAGTTATCAAACTGTTCAAAAACTTTGCACTTTAAAAACATCATCGTCGAAAATATCGTGGTAAAAAAATAAAGCACCTACGAATCATCGCATCGCAGACATGCGTTTACCTCATACAGTCACTTTACCTTCCTTTTTGTACTTTTCTTTATATTTTTCATGAAAAATTACCAGTAAGACTTTATAAGAAATTTATTTATTAAGAATCTTTATTAGTTAAAATAAGTTAAGTAAGCTTAAATTTCTATTAAGTGCTTTAAGTTGCATTAATTTTCTACTCATTTTCAACTTTTAAATGCTTAAGTCTCCTTCTTATTTTTTCAGCAAAAATTTATTAGTTAAATTAAAAATACGGAAAGCAAAACTAAAAATGTTCCTCTTTCCTTCTTATGCTCACAGATATGCATTTACGACTTTTAAAGACGACCTAAAAAACGCATGTTTGCGATATTGTCGTCGGTTACAGCTGAAAACATCTCCGCAAAATCATCCCGGACCTAAACGTCGCGGAGAAAACAACGTAAGGAGAAAACGTCATGATGCAAAACATCATGTAAGAAAAGAAAGCACAGAGAAGACATCGTGATACAAAATATCGTGGTCGAAAATAAAGCGGTTCAAAAACTTTGCAGTTTAAAAACATCGGCGTCGAAAATATCGAGGTAAAAAATAAAGTACCTACAAATCATCGCATGACGATAACATCGCACACATGCGTTTACCTCATTTACAGTCACTTATCTTCCTTTTTGTAGTCTTCTTTATATTTTTCATGAAAAATTACCAGTAAAACTTTATAAGAAATTTATTTATTAATGATCTTTATTAGTTAAAATAAGTTAAGCAAGTTTAAATTTCTATTTAAGCTTACTTAACTTATACTTACTTACTTTCTAAGTTTTTAAATTCCATATTGGCATATTATACGAGTATAACTGACTTTCGTCATAACTAACAAATCGATATCCGAAAAACTGATTACACTCTATACATGAAAATGTTAATGACACTTTTAAGAATAAACGTAAACAAAACTAAATATAATTTTCACTAAACAATATCAGATCACCAAATGTGAAAGAAAATTATTTGATAATTAACTAAGCAATTTTTATAGCGGGAAACTCATGCAGTTAATTATCTTCCTTTTTTCTAAGCGTTTTTAGACTGTACTTTTCATAAAAAGTACCAGTAAAACTTTATAAAAAAGGTTAATTTATTAATGACATTTGTTAATTAACTATGTAAATTTAAAATTCTGTTAAGTTCTATAAGTTTCATTCTCATTTTTTCAATAAAAATTAATTAGTTCATTCAAAAATATGAAATATAGAAGTAAAGGAATCCCTCTTTCCTTCTTGCGCTTCCAAATCATTATGCGAACATGCATTAACAACTTTTAAAACCGGAAAACACATGTGTGCGATGTTATCGCCATGGGATGATTTGTAGGTACCTTATTTTTTTTTGCCACGATATTTTCGGCGGCAATGCTTTTAAACTACGAAAGTTTTTTTCACCGCTTTATTTTTGACTACGATATATTGTACCCGGATGTTTAGAATTGCGATGTTTTCTCTTTGCCTTTTTGTCTCCAACGATGTTTTGTACCACTACGTTTTCTCTTAACGTTGTTTTCTCCGCGACGTTTCGTCCGCGGTGTTTTTGCCGCGATGTTTTTGGCGAAGACCATTATCGCCATGCGATGATTTGTAGGTGCTTTATTTTTCACAGCGATATTTTCTACGACGTTTTTAAACCGAGAAGTTTTTGAATCGCTCTATTTTCGGCCACGATATTTTGTACAACGATGTTTTAAAATTGCGATATCTTATTTTTGATTTGATGATATTTTGTACCATAACGTTTTCGCGTTGCATCGTTTTCGCCCGCGATGTTTTTGCCGCGGATACCGTTAGATCATCACCAAATACAATACAGATTCACCATCTTCTGCAATGGTATTGACAGTTCAAGAATATTGCTTGTGTATGACGATAACAGCTCCGGGTTTCTCATAAAATAATGTAAAGCTTGTTGTTGACACTTATCTCACCTTTCTGAGAGTAACGTCAGAATAAGTCCAAGAACTTTATCATGGTGAAGAGCGCAGGACTGCACTTGTATTGATATTTGTCTTGAAGATATAATAGGTGAGAGTGCTACTTAGCTGATATTATCCTAATTTTGAAGCACACTCCTTAGATTAACGATTCCAAGCATTCTCCCCCACTTCTCCTACCATCAAACCACTCGAGAGGACGTTTGGCTCACAATGTATTTTAAGTGCCACGATGTCACAAACACCTTATACATTTACAAACATCAAAGGCTTTTCCGAGAATCGAACCCAGCCCCAACGATACTTCAGCCAGCAATATTAGCCACTATACCGATTAGGACGAGACTTAGCATAGCTTAGATAGTTATCAAGTTCGATACAGATCCACTAAACCACCCGAGATTTGCGATGGTATCAATAATTCATGAACGCTGGTTATCTATATAAAAGATAGCTCTGACAGACAGTATTTTTAACAAGAAAGTATGAGTTGGTTGATAGGGAAAAAAAAATAATTGTTCAGATCGTCACCAAGTATGATACAGATCCACTAAGTCACCATACTATTTCACGATGGTATCGCCAGTTTGTTTTGTGTAAAGACAACAACTTTGGAAGGCTAAGTGTTTCTAAGAAGAATGTAATAACCTGTTGATATAGAGAAAACATTTATCATTGTTTAAATGATCACCAAATACGATACAGATCCACAAAGCCATCATAGCGATTTAGGATATTATCGACTGTTCAAGAACACTAGTTATCTGTATAAGGATAACTGCTCCGGTAAGCCTAAGTAATATCTACTCCTAATAAGAAGGAGAACTTTGTGAATACGATGAAAAGAATGACCACCAGACGCATCCTGCAGTGTTATCAACAATATAAAAATTTTGGTTATCTGTATGAAGAAATCTGTATGCCATAGAACATAGTTTAATTCCTGTAATTGGAATTGGAATTTCAGTTACATTGCATTTACAAGTACACATAATTGCAATTACAGTGTAATGAATTATACTGTAATTTCACTACTTATATTTGAAATTACACTGTAATTTTATTACTTATATTAGCAATTACACTGTAGTTTTATTACTTATATTAGGAATTACACTTTAATTTTATTACTTATATTAGCAATTATACTGTAATTCAGTTATTAATCAGTTACACTGTAATTGAATAATATGAGACTGTAACCTGCATATATGTGCTTATATGAAAATGAAATGTAAGGCAAGCCCATGATTCGTACATGGAATAGTTACCACCCATCGCAAAGAGCTGTGCAGAGTTTTCAATGGATGGAATCCATTTTTTATTTTTTATTTTATCAGAACTTTTATGATATTCCGCGGTCTTTGACCAAATATTATAACCAGTTGTCAAATTAAACATGAGCAGATAAATATTTGACGCATTTACTAAACATACAATAAAATACCAAAAACCATGAAAAAATTTATTTTCTCATTATTGTGAAGAAAATGATAAGAAACATGCATATAAAACTATTCAAATGGGTAGTTTGGCTTTAAAAAACTTTTAAACTTTTAAAAAACTTCCAAATCCTAGAAAATATGTTTCCTTCTGCGAAATAAAATTATAATAGTATACTATTCAAAATAAATATGACTCCTACGGTGTTTTAAAACAATAACTGATTAGACAAGATACATTCAAATTTTTAAGTGTTCAGTTATTTATTAAAATATACAGTCACAGAATGTGGTCATTTCTTAATCACGTTATTTATTTTGAAAGGCCACTATTCTGATCTGAACAGACCTTTTCACTACTACTGAGTGACAACGCATACTAAAAGCGAATTCAATTTAGATAAATCTAAATGACAAGAAAAGAAAAAGAAAATACTTTTAATTTCTGTTTTCGATGTAGCTTGAATTAGATTCTCTAGATTAATTTTTTTTTATGATATTTCTAAAACATTCTGTTTAAAACTAGATTGTATATCCATTGAAATAGTTATCACTGACCACTTGTTGTTACTTATGCTCACTTATTTGACAGTAACATCAGCCCAAGTCCACGAAATTCCTCTTGGTACGGAGCGCAAGGTACGCCTGTCGTTGGCAACAGCTTTGAGCACCTTACAGTTGACAGGGCGATTCTGACCACTTAACGTACGATTAAGTACAGTCCATCTAATTAGATTTACATTATTATTCAACTCTTAAATTTTCTGCACTAAGATTTGTTTTATGCAGCAATTATATTTTTAAAGAGAGAAACAACAGTTGCATTTCTAAAGGTAAAATGTATTTTTTATTTAAATAATTTTATATGAATAATGCGAAATTATAAGGTCATTTTAAGAAATACGTTATACAGTTTGCTTCAGTGTCTACTCTGAAAAGAATTACAGGAGAAAGAGCTTACGCAAGAGGGTTTGTTTCTGGTTTTGCTAATTCGTCTGACGTCTATATACGTCTGATAATGTACGAAATCTAACACAACATTCCGAAGATTGGGAGCATGATTTCCATCTTACATATGTATGATAGAAAAAGAAAAATTCAACTCAAACTTACCTCATGTTCAAGGAACAACGCTTTCAAAGCTCCTGTGGACCAAAACTCCATAGCGTAAGCTAGAAGTTTCATTGAAATAGTATTCACCCGGAGAAAGTTGCCAACAAATACGACCCTTTGAATACCCTGGAAATGTAAAACACGCACTATATTTTAATCAAACATGCATGCATTATCCACGCATTTGTACATACACCTCTCTCAAAACAAAACAAAAATGAGCATTATTAGTTCATTGTGTATCTCTCATTGATAATTCGTTCAGATTTTCGAATTGCACACATTGCAATTTTGCGCTATTTCATTATTCTAAAATGAAATCGGCATTATGTAGACACTGGTACTCTTTTCTTTTAAAACTGAAATTTTAAAATTTTTAATTAAAGTACATAACCATTCAAATGAGTAAAAGCCAGCTTTCAAAGCAGTAATTAACTAATTAATAAGCTAATAATAGCAGTACACATTATCGCGAAAACATAAATCAAGATACTATTATATAAGTTGACATAATATTCTATCTACCAGTTTGAGTTGGAAACCATGCCAGAATGCACATACTCATGGATGGTATACCCTATACCTTACACGAGTTAGGAATCAGGCGATTTGTGTATCGTAGACCGTTGCCAATGCATTTACGGGTTGCAGAGGAAGTCTTCATTAGAACTAGCTGTGTCACATACACTCAGTGAATATTCAGGCAAAATGGTGAAGACCGACAGAATCGTGGGCAACACAATTGAAGGATACAATTTGGTTCCAACAAGAAGGTGCAACACGAAGGACAACGAAATTCTTTCCATAGGACGTGTTGCGACGCGTCTTCGTAACCTTCCTGCAATTTCTCGAACCGTGCATCTAAACTGGACATTGTTTCCAACGTTGTTTGATGTGCATATTTTTCGTACTTAGTATAAGAGTATATTGCAGTCAATGCTTATGGATATATAATCATTTCACAATGACATAAAGTTACAATTAACACTCACGGACTTTCTATTGTTATTTAAAGCTAGTAAATACAGTACGGACCATTTTAAGTTGCTTGTGCCTTCTACAAATGATGAGTTTTGTCTATTTCCCAGACGTAAGGAAAATAAGCTGTTATGACATATCGTCCTTTTCGTGAATTTTAAAGATGTCTAAAAGACTTGTGACTTTTGATTGTCTTTGATACTTGTGACATTTGATTTTAGTTTTACTAACAAGTCGATAATTCTAGTTTTAGACTAGAAGAGAAACACGCAAATGTGACAATCAAAATTGTAAAAACAACCTTGTATTTAGCGTAAGTATAATGAAACACTCAATCGATTTCGAGGGCAGCTAAAGGTCCCTCCTCATCAGGAGACAGAAATACCTAGAAAGAAGAAAATAAAGGAGAAGGAGTCTCAGAAACACGTGGTCCTTATCAGCACTGCACGTGGTTATAACTGGATTTTTAATCAGAGTTGCACTGGCTGCCTACTTTTACTGAGCCAGGCTATTTGATCAAGCAAAAAGGACAAGAAAAATTAGCGAAGTTAAAATAGGGAGCGAGGGGCAAATGCACCTTCACGCTCAAAATCCGAACTTCAAATAATGGAAAGCTTAGACTTAGACTCTATAACTGACCGAGCTATTGCGAAGAGCAATGTTGCCGGTTCCAGAATTAAAGCCCAAGGGCACTTGACATAAATAAATCCGGACGTGGAGAAAATCTCAGATGAGAAAACGGAGATAAGGGGAAGAAGAGAAGTACCAAAAGGAGCAAGACAATCCAATCGGACAAGTCGCAAAATGTGACGAGCGATCATAGCTTTCAAGGAGGACCCAAGACAATGGAAATCAATGACAACAATACGAGAAGATACACTACAGCAATAGTTCCAATGACAAATTCAAATACAATTAAATAACATCAATCAGTAGTGCTAAATACACACAATACAAAACAACTATACAACACAATTTGAATACAATTATTCAACGGAGCTACAGAAGAACTTCAATCAAAATCAGATGCATTGGAAGTATAAATTAATGGAAAGCAACCACAGAACGGATTTTTATACCCTCTGGTAGTACCAAACGCGAGGAGGTAACGCCATCTATCGGCAAAAATAACTAACAGGGATAAAAAGAAAGAAAAAATAAGAAGAAAAAGTAATAATGTTTAAAATTGTTGGAATTAAAAGTTTATCTTCAAAAATAAAGGTAGGATTTAAAATTATTTCCTTACACGTCATTTCGACATTTTTGTAATTACTTGTTTGTGTATCAAGAAAGGCTGCAAAGTCAAGGACCGCCTCCAGCAGCAAAAGTTCTAGCTACGCAACTGCATTCTTTTCTCAACCTTCTTTTACGGATATATTCCTTGACTTACATCTACATCCACATCTACAGCGCCCACCAACGGCCGAGCGGTAAAGTCGCTGAACACTGATAGTTCGGTTCGAGGTTCGAATCCCTCGAACGGGCTGGTTGCATGGGCGTTTTCGTGGATTTCCCCATGCGTAAAGTGTATACGAGCCAGTTCCCCTTAGAAAGTCCTCCACGAAGGCATCCCTCCCCTTAGGCAGATAGCCCTAGTGTGCTTTGCCATAATTAATTAAATAAATACTCCACATCTGCAGGTACAGTAACTATGCAAAGATATTTATTTTTACCACTTATGCAAAAATTATGCACTTTGGTAAATTATAAAATTATACAAATAAAATTATACTTTAAAAAATATACGCATATTTAATGATTAACTTGAGGCTGTTTGGCAGCTCTCGGTAATTTAAAATCCGGATTGGAAGAAAAGTCCGAACTTATGCTGGTACTTTTTTAAGTAACGAGAAAGCCTTCTCCAATAATGCAGCATTTATGAACGGTAACAGAATATTGACTGCCTCGTTGAATAGTTCAGGATAGTTTTCTTTCAAGGTCAGCCCAGAATGAGATGAGGGATTTCTTTTCAAATTCTACCTTAAGTGAAAAATCCATTTTCCGTTCAATCACCCTAATTTTTCTCAGACTGATCAAAATGCACATTAGAAACACTTCTCACTGAAAAGGAACGCAATCTAATGATTACAAGTTCCACGTTCGGGAAAATATTTTTCAAAAGTTGCCTTCAGTCCATTCAGATGTTGTATTACCCAAGATTCTTTGCAGAAGTAAAATTTTATTACAGAAAACAACACCGAATTCTCTGCCCGCTTCGTATAAGGATTCTTGAAATATATTAATCACTGTCGGGGCGTAGTCCTATCCCTCTCGACAGGTACTGACCCTGCAGATAGTATATGCATATATGTAATAATATCAAGAAAAAGACGGAGCAGTGTTGATGCGCAGTACCTAGATATCGTAGATCCATACTGAACAGGAAGAATTGTGATTGCTAATATGCTGACTTCGTAATATCTAAGAAACTTGGCAGTTGAGGCAGTTTTAATTCCATTTTTATTTGCAACTGACATTTGCGGCCACAGTTCGCTTGGCACTCTAGTCGTGCCCATTCAAGAACATTTACATTTTTGATATTATTGCGATAGGAAGCAGAGAAATTGCTTACAAGCACTGCACACATAGAAGCTAAAGTGCATAGTTATCCAATATGGAAGCACACGAAGAGAAAAGTTTTGGTTTGAGTTAAAAGCTTCAGTTCCCAATTATAACGTCATCAGTCATCAGCGCTGCGCAGGCCATGCAAAATGGAATGATCTAGAAATGACGCAGTCCAGAGAAGTTATTACGATTTTTAAAACAGAGAGAGAGAATTAAAAGTTTATCATTAGTTTAAATTATAATTTTGATTTACATAATTTTTATCTTACACATATATATATAAACTGAATTTAAAAGTTTCATAGCTTTCTAAATTAAAACTATTTTGGATTAAATTTAATTATTTTAATTTTTCATAATGAAATATTTGGATTGTAAATGCCAGTGGTTGACTTTTGATCTTTTCTCTAATGTTCAATCAATCCATCAAGGATCACCATTACATCCTTTTTCTGTGAGTACCCAAGACCATTTTCCCCTGGGGTTATACGTACTACAGATTGAGAAACACTGTTCTAGAGTGTGCAAGCGTTTTTATAGAACGTTCTTTGCAAGTTACAGTAAGAGTGCCACTAACACCAATATATTATGTGCTTTCATATATTAAAGGATTTTATCGACATGATTTAAAAGCGGTCTGGTAACATGTTTGATACTGTAGGAACGTTCTTTATAAAATGTTCTTTATACTTTACATGGCACAGTACCAGTACTGGACGGGCTGTTGTCCGTTTTAGAAAGGTAACATACAGACGTGATTCAAAGCGCTACGCCTGAACATTCGAGACACATCTGTGAAACACTTAAATTGAACGTTCTGATGCTTGTTGGACATGCTAATTGTGGGTCACCAACTTATAATTCGTTAACATTTAGGAAATACACATACTGAAGTTTCGAAACATTTTATTCTTCCAGAACTAAATCACATAAATCAAATAGAGATATATCTGTGTAATGGTGATTTAGCAAGTCGCTGTTCACAAGAAGTGGTTAATTTGCATTGTATTATTTTAAGTCTCCACAAGTTGTAAGGCATTAAAGTTTTTTTTTTACCTTTTGAGTTGAATCTCGTGTCCACAGTAAAAATTAAGGAACGGCGCAACTCGGAGACACGAAGGGGTAACTTCTAAAGTTGGGAAATTTATTAATTAAGTAGTTACAACTTTAGTTATCGCATATTAACTCCGAGACTGTTATCAGAGCCATCCCATCTTGATTAATTGGCGTTTCAAGCACATGCACTGATAAACCATAAACACTACTGAAATTACGCCCCTGTTGCCAATGTATTTTCATAATAACTGAGAATAATCTGTGCTAAATGAAGGTTGATTCCAAGGCTTGTTGTAACACAAGTGGTGAGATAGAATAAATTTAAAGTTATTTTTTTTCTGTGTATGTTTGTTTTAGAGTTTGAAATTCTGGTGGAGATAATTCATCTCATGAGCCTTCTTAGCATCTTAATTTTATTGTAACTCAGCGATCTAAGTTACTTGTACTCACAACAGGTGTTATATGTTTTTAAGAGCATTAGAATAATAGTCAAGTTTCGATTCCTTGAAATACTGGGTTGTCTAATAACCTTGAAATATTGGGAGGTGTTGAATATGCCCTTTGAAAGACTTTAGCTTTCTGTCGGTTATGGAAAAAAGTAAGCACTGATATTTATGCAAAAGTTTTATGTCATATGACAAACAATAACACATGTGAGTAAAACAAATCTTATATTTGTTTCGTACAACGAGCATTAAACATTGAATGTTAACGGCATCAAGTCAATAATGAAGCACAGTTCGTTAAAGTCGCTATACTCAATTCAAGAGTTCAAATTAGGAAATTCTGCAGGGGTTACAGGGAAAAACTCCCAATAAATCATTCGATGGAAGAACAACTAATAACATATTCACTCGCCGTTTGGTTTGCAGTATTTCGCTCAGGAGATTTGAGACTACAAAATCAAACCTGGGGGCACTGCCCTTCCTCTATTTATTCGAATGATTTGAAAGATTTACTCAAATCAGGTTCAAGGCAAAGCATGCGAAAAATCACTCAGACGCTAGCTGTTATGCTTATCGACTGTTTCACGACACTTCGCAGCTACGGAAAAAATTAGACGGCTCGATATGTAGATGCCTCAGGAACTCATTGATGAAAACAAGGTACACATTCTGGAAATGTCCTCTTCTCTTTTCGGAAGAATTGAAGAAGAAAGTTTCCTGCAATGAATTGCGACTGCGAATGAGAAGTAGATATTCTACGACACTCTTGCATGCTCGTCGCCATAGAGAAAGATGATCCAGGAAGGCCTCCAAAGGGCTTTTTGCATCCAAAGAGAATGCTGTTTATTACATGATGACCTTCTGCTGGAGTTATTCTTTACTCAATTCTTCCACAAGGTGAAACAATAAACGCAGCTCGATATTTTGCAGATATGTAGTAAATGTGTCACAAACTGTGCTTTAAGCAACCAGCATTTATGAATACACATGAAGTCCTATTGATTCAGGAAATATCTTATCAGATACGGCAGTGTTAACCATACAGCAAATTACCAATTTGGGATACGAACTAATGCCGAATTTTCCCTTCTTGCCTCACATTTCCGCCAACAGATAACCATTTTTCTCTGACATGCAATAACAATCTTTTGGCAAGAATGAACTGATATTGCTGGAGATTATTTCGATTAAACACGTATTATTTATATTCTCTTTTACAATCGTATTCAACATCGGCCATTTCTTTGCAACAACCCGGTACGTAAAGCTACATGCAATTTGGATCAACTTTTGTGAAGGTTTAAACATTATTTGATAACCTTACTGTAAAGATACATGATTGTAATGTTGTTGCAAACAAATAAATGTTGTTATAAACAAAGTATATATAAGTTGTATATATATATATATATATAAGTATATATAGTAGTTGTTTGTTATAAACAAAGTATAAATATTAAAACAGATCTGTTTCAAAAGTGTTTAAGCAATCAAAGTTTTCAAGCATGTTTTTGTCTTTTGCTTTTCAGTTCCTGAGGACAAATAACACATGAAATCTCCTCAACACCAGCTGATGGATGATAACGCCCATGTGAAAAACTATAATAAAACTATGTTATTATTTTAATAAACTATGTTGTTAATTTTTTGAATGACTATTGAATAAACACTTACCTCATTTAATGCTGCCATTCTTGCGATGGAGCTAATATTATTGGTGATGGTAACGAGAGTGGCTCTGGCTAAGTCTTCCCTAGATGCTAAGGCTCGCCGTTCTTTGCTGTTCATGTTCCCGAAGCTGAAAGGAATGATGATTTTTAGCAAATCTGACAGTTAATTCAGATATCTAAGGTAATTACAGATTAATTTCTATGAATATCACTGGAATTTTTTATCTAGTACACACGAATAATTATTTTTTAAAGTCAGTGTATCAGGACATTTCATATGTCAGAGAAGAAACATGTTCTAACACGTTTAAATAAGATATTTTCATGCGTGTATAAATACCACTGAGCAAAGTCAGCTTCATTTGGACCAATTTTTGTTTGCAAGAACGTACTAATTTGTTCCTTTAACAGCTCGTAGAAATGGCGGTCACAGAAGAGCAGATCAGACACTTCATGGTTTATGAGTACTCCCCCCCCCAAAAAAAAAGGCAATGCTCAGCAAATGCTTGCGAATATTTGCCAGTGCGGAACGATGGTCCTAAAATTTAGACAAGGTAGCCCTAGCGCAATAGATGCTAAACCCTGTAAAGACTTTGTCTTTTATGGCTATTATGTATTAAGAGCTGGAACTAAAATTCGCATCCAGCAACTGAAGAGTTGCAGGAAACGTTTACTCATACCAATTCACTGTCCAGATTGCCATTTGATGGAATTTGGAATCATGTTTAAGCTTTTACATGAAGTTACTGACGCTAATCGAAGAGAACATAAGAACATTTGCCCTGCCTTTCATTCCATAAACAAAATTGTCCTTTTTTGTAGCGATGAAAACTGACTTGTGGCTTGAAGCTCGCAAAATTTCAAGGGTGGTAAAGAATACAACTCCCAAGAGACAAGTGAAACGGATCTTCAAGTTTGGTTTCTTTAAAATTGGCAACAACAACAACAAAAAAAAAAAAAAAAAAAAAAAAAAAAAAAAAAAGTATTACAGCTTCGGAAGAATATATCATCTTAATTTTTATCTCTTCAAAATCTAATTCAAAAAGCGATATTACTTATGGGATGACCTTATATTTTAGCTTTTATGATGTATTTCAATATATGAATATATATAGTATGTGAAGTATGTGTTTCTTCAGTATATGAAGAAAGCAAAAATGAACTTTTCAGAAACAGTATGCATGTATAGAATAAGTGAAATACAAAGGATCTTAAAAATGAAACTTAAATCATGAACCTACTTGATCAATGCTGAGTCATTGCTAATCTTTTGAAAATATTACAAGGTTAGACTTTATGTTCATTTAAACTAAACTGAATTACCTTAAAAAACTTGCAGATCAACTTTTCATTCCCTTACTATAGGGTGTTTCATAGATCATGGGACAAACTTGGAGGGGTGGTGGAGCGTACTACAACATGCATTTTTTGTATAGGAATGTAGGGTATAAAGTGACAGCTTAAGGCAGGAACGCAAAAAAACAACACGAGGGGAAAATGTGTTTATGTACAAAATCAACGCTTCTTTGCAGCAATACAGTATTCACAAATGTTCAAAAAAGGGAACACTAACAGTAATAGGAACTACAGCTGTGATTGGCTGGCAATGCAGCGGTAGAGAGCGGTAGTGAGTCGGAGAAACCACGATCCAATGCATAAATTTATTGTTTATGAATTTTTAAAATACTTTACGGATTTGTGAATAAACCTTGCGTGCAACTTCATTTTGTAATACAGTAAGTGAACATACTGATTCGAGCTATAGTTTGAAGATTTATCAAATAATTACTCCAGATGAGTAGAAAGAAATTGGCAATTTATTGCAGTTAATAACAGTGCAGAGTAAAATAAATAGCTGAAAATAACTCTACGAGAACGCAATAGACAAACCCTCCTTAACGCAAAAGAAATGATGTAAATTACCAATATCATTCACAGAATAAGTTCTCTAAAACGCAATTCAAGTAACACTTTGAAAGCACACTGAAGCAATTCAGAGCTATACTTTGTTATTTTAAAATAGGCTCATAACGGCCTTCTCCTAATTTGCGATCGTAACGTGTGTCGTCATGCCGTACAGATCGGAATTAGAGGATTTAATCCAATTAGAAAGCTCAACCATCTTCCTCAGAGGTCATTACGATAGTTAAAAAACAAAGTTAAAATTAACATAAAATATTTATTTCATAATAGCAGACTATAAAACTGGACTCTTGCTAGTAAAACAAGGCCGCTTATATAAGTTTGGCAGCCTTCTGAAAACTTCCAAAAAATCGCCAAATTGGCGATAATAACGGTCGTAAGGCCTATCAAGAGGGCTTCTGCTTATATCTTGGAACTTGCTTGAGCTACTTTCACATTTTAAACGTTGCTGGATTCAGAACCACAAAATAACAAATCTATCAAAAAAGTTTCGTGACTTTATGTTCAATTACACAAAAATATACTTCAAAATTATTACCTAAAATATAGCAAATAAATAAATAAAAACATTACAAAATATTATAACAAATACAGAAAAATATGCAATCAAATGCATTCTATTTTTAGAAATTTAAAACAAACGTAACTGACCTGCTCGCAACCGTATTTCCGCTGAGATTGAACTTCAGATAATCACCTCCGTAAATGTCCTTTACTAATTTGTCGACTTTTGTGCTATCACCTTTCTCTGCCAATCCTATGGCTTCTTCAAAAGTGTCGCAGCCCGTCAGTAAGCTGCACAGACCAAGAAATGTGCCTCCACCCAAACTAGAAAACAAACAGAGCAAGCATTACATATTGTGATCGGAAAATAATTAACATACACAGATTATTTTGTCTAATCTAATAGCTACCGAAATATAATTATAGCAAGAGTCCACAGTACGGGACTTCAGCGATGCGGATAAACGGATTGCATAATGCTGCAAATCAGTATTTTTGCATTATTGAACGCATTGTGGAATGAGGGAAAAAACTGCGTATTGTAATTCTGTAAGCATATGGATTAAAACCAAAATAACATAATTGTGTGATGGGAAAATAATTATCATACACTGATAATTTTGTTTCGATCTGGATATTAAGAAGTGTAAATAAAACTATAGCTGAAGTTTGATAACACATTACGTTCGTTTAGATTGTACAATGCTGCAAAACGATTCTTTTTTGGTTCTTACATTGAAAAATAATATATATATACGAGGTTCATGTTGTGACCGCTATATAACAGTTCGAAGGGAATTACATATCCTATCAGCTTGCTTTTTTTCTTCGGTCTTGAAACCTGTTTTATACCTTCCTGATCCTTCTGTATGCACGATCGTGACAGATGCTTTTTTATTATTCCAGACTTGTGTTTTTGTGTGCCACAGCTGCTATTATATCAAACTATGTCCATATCAAATTTCATTAAAATGCGCCCATTCTGGAGATAAATGGCCGAATTGTACAAATGTTTTCAAGTTTGAACATCAGCGTAATTTAACAGCTTCTCTACGTATCCTAGTGCACTACTATACTACATTTTTTTAATTTCTTACTTTAATTTTCTTACTGCTCTTTCGTTGTATCTGCTAAATCACTACATTCAGAATACCTTCGTGCCTTGAAGTCTATAGATGTCACCGTTCTTTAGTCTGCGTAATCACTTTTCCATATCTTTTTAGTCACATTTGGATATAACTTCAACATTAGAAGGGTTCTTAAACAAGATTATATGCTGTTGCCCTATGATCTTCTTCTTTTACGACGAAGTTCTGTCAAGCTTTTGTTTAAATATTAAAGCTGTTTTAGATCGTTTAAACAGTTGACTGAGTACAGTCATCCTAACAAAGAAATTTAAAAAAAAATCGAGCATCCCCCTTTTTAAGCATGTCTCGAAACAAATTGGAAGACAAGTCCAAGGTTCGAATCCCGTGAACGGGCTGGCTGCATGGGTTTTTTCGTGGTTTTCCCCATGTGTACGTGTATACGAGTCAGTTCCCTTAGAAAGTCCTCCACGAAGGCATCCCTCCCCTTAGGCAGATAGCCCTAGTGTGCTTTGCCATAATTAAATACACCACTACATATTTTTAGAAAAATTTTGGTGCCGTTTAATTAATGTTTAAATGTAAACGAAATTTTTTAACGCTCGAAATGATAGCTTTTTTTTTTTCTGTACTATAGGAGTACAACATGATTTCTACGATAGAAGGGCTTTTTGAAAATTTCCAGGGGTATTGATTTCCACTTACCACTTTCCAGTTTTTCTTTCAACACACTCCAGAGTCCATGAATAGTGGTGGGTTTGCTCTTACAAAGAGCTCATTTCAAGAGATCAAAGGCACAATAGTCCATAGGTGAAACATCGGAAGACTTTGCAGAAGTATGTTGAAAAGCTACGCATATGCAAACCTCTATCAGCCTTCACGTTTTCAAGAAATTCAGTGTTACTTTTTGTATGACCTTGTTTATGTCTTAATGAAGTTTCCCTCTTTGAAAGTAGTGGGATAAAAAAAATTAAATTTATTTTAAACATTAAACTTTCTCTGGACTGTATGTAGAGTTGATTTTAACATTTCCCCCTTTTCTTTGAAACTTTCTTTGCATTGACGAAACCAGGTTTGTACATTTTTACCTCTTCGTTTTTGATAATAAGTAGACCTTTTTTTGTTGCAATCATTGGTGTAAAACCAAGGGTCACAATGGGTTTTTATCTCCTGCTAAACAGTTTTCATATAGGGTTCTACAAATTGTTCTGGTTTGAGCCAAAAGCTGGGAAGCATCATATTTTTTAACTTTCTAAGCTGTAAGTCTTGGTTTGTTATTTTACTCATTGTTGTTAAGTGGCATTTGAAGACTTTTCATTCGATTTCTACGGCGGCGGATTTTCTCTTGTTGCCAACGATTTAATTTTAGAAACGTTAGAAACAGTACGTATCTTTTCCCGGTATTTTTTTAGAGTCTTCTTTGCATATAGAAGTAATGATTGACGGTTTTTCCCTTTCCGATTAATAATGTTGCTTATTTTGCGCTTAAAATGTTGCATAAAATATTTCTCATTTGAAATAATAAGTTGTTATTCCAAAACATTTGCTTTTTTTCAAAAACATTCTTCATTAAAACCGTCCTAAAAATGCGTAAACAGCCTCTGGAATTTTGAAAATGCGTTTAATCATTGAAAATGTACAAGAAGATAAACTAAAAAATATACATAATTTATTATTCGTAATCCCATGATTGCCAACTCTCCCGGTTTTCATCACATCGTCTGGCCCTTCGGGAGGTCACCGAATCTCTCTGTTTTAGTTGTTAGCCTTTATTAAGATAAGTATGTTTCAACAATGAAGTAAGTAAACTGAATTAATGCAAATTTTATTCTCCAACTAATGATCTTTAGCATGATTTTTTCTATGAAAGTTTATTAGATCTGAAATTTCTAAATCTAGCGTAGACATTCATAGAACTTTTAATGAATATTCAATCGATGTTTATTACATTAATATTTGTATTTAATTTAGTTTTATTTAATAAAGGTTAAATTACTAAGTTTATCCACATAATAGTACATATTAATTTTATTTTATATAATAATAGTTAAAAAACTGAAACGCACATTATAAAGAGAAATTAAATCGATCGAAGTTCTGAAATAACGCCTGCGCGCAATGCAGAAACATCCTGGAAACTCCCGGTTTTAGGCACGACAACCTCCCTGTTCTTCCCATTTCATGGTTGTTAGCTACGTAAATCAATGCACCGTATATTCCGGCGTATAAAGCACACTTTTAGTACAAAAAATAAGATCGAAATTTATAGGTACGCGTTATACGCCGGGATATAAAAATGGTAGATTTAAAAATAAGGGGAAGATAAAACAAAAATTAGATTTCTACATGTATCAAAATGCTATTTATTTAAAAGAAATGACATACCTCGTGAATTTAAAAACTTTCATTATCGGATAACATCAAAAGTTCGTCATATTCGACTTCGGTTACATCCACAGGCACATCATCGAATTCTGTTTTGTCTTCACCATCATTGTTACTCTGATCCATAAATAAATAATTATCTTCCATTCCATCTAGATTGTTAGCTATACCATAGTTTTAAAATAACTTTTGAATTACGTCGGGTTTAATTTAATTTCATGTTTTTATTATTCATTCACATACTATTTCTAGATTGGCATGATTCATTTGATCCATAGTAAATGTTTTTTCACCTTCTAAAATCCACGAGTTCTACTGCCGTTTTAAATTTTCTTTGAATGATTTAGTGATACGTATATCTAAAGGCTGAATTAATGGTGTTAATCTACTTAGAATAGCTGCCATATCTATATTTCCACTCTTTCAACAATTTCTTCGCGTTATCCGTTAGATGAGATCTGAACATGTCCCAAATTAAAAGACTTTCTGGATTCTTTTTAAGGCAACAGGATTCTTTTCCAAAATACTTCTTATCCATAATTTTACACCACTTTCGTTCATCCATCGTTTTTCGTGAACATGAATGAAAACACCGTTTGGAAAATTACATTCGGCATCGTTTTTCTTTTTAAAATAACCATGAATTTTAATTTTGCATCGTCCGCTAAGCAGGAAAGCATTACGGTGAGGTGAGATTTTTTGTGACCTGTTTCAATTGAACCTTTTTTTTTCCTTTCACATCAAGCTTTATTTCCTATTATATCAAACTTTACTGGAGTCAAATCAATATTTCTAACATGTGACAGTAAATATTTTTTTGCCTTTCGGATTTAATAACATATTTCTGAAAACTTCTCAGTTTGTTTCCAAATCTTTCGGAAACCTTTGCGAAACTTTTGTTTTTTCTCGAAGAATTAAATTATTCCCTGCTATAAATTGACTACACCAACTGATAATGAGTTTAAGTTTTCATTTTCATTTCATTCTTTTTTGCCCACTTTAAGGCAAATAAACGTCGTTTATTTTATTATAATTTTAAAACGCTGATTCTTGTTACAGTTAATCCATTCTGGTGGTTTTCTAGGACCTAGTTCGCAACACTTCTTCTAGGGTAGATGATTTCGTTACTTCTTTACGCAAAGCATATTTTTTCGTTAGCATATTAATTATTATCATTTTATTTTTTCTTCCACTCACGTATGGAGCTTTCTACCAAACATCACTGCTGCATCCCGATTTCTATTTTCTTTCGCAAATTGAATGACTTTGCATTTGAAACCAGCTTTTGTTTATTTCGTTTGGTCGGAGCCACATTTACTACTAAGAGGAACACTTTATTAACTGCATTTCAACTAAAGCAAACGCGAATTACTAAAGCCTTCGCTTTTCATTTCAAACTCCCGGCTTTAAAGGTCTACAAAACGATATATCATCTGATTCCTAATACCACGGATTCATCCAGCATTCTTACCCCAAATTATACCCACTCTTTTCGCGAAACCCTAGAATGCCGTTCTTGTGCACATCTCCATTGAATATAGCCCATCCTCTTTTCAGAATTAGTTATTCCCTCAATCATTTCCCCCACACAGATATTATTCCTCTTATCAATTTACTATATCATTGTTCAAAAGCCTAGGATAAATCTTCGATTGAATGACTTCAAAAGATAAAAGCATCGCACTTTTATCTTTCAGGTTTTTTTTCTTAAAGAATAAGGTGAGCGTTATACGACGAATATATCTAAAAAAATGCAGTATGAAATCACAGGCACGCGTACACCCGAGGAGTCTTATACACAGGAGTTTGCAGTACGTTTCGGAATCTACTATCTTGTTGGAAGAAGAGCTTCTGAGTTAAAAATATTTCTCAAAATAATACCATTGAGGAAAATTAAAATATTCATTACTTGGTGGCAATGAGTTTCACAAACAAACATTGACCTAATTTAAATCTTACCTGTTTGCTTCATTCTGGGAGATTAACTTCTTCGCGGAATTTATGTAATTAAGAGTGGCAAGCAGTTTTACTCTAAAGTTTGAAGAATAGAGCATAGCTGTAATGTAAACGTTTTGGTACTGGCACCGAGACTGCCTGCCAGAGAATTTCTCTCTCTCTTGGCGAATCACCGCTATCTCGAATTAGACAGAAAAGTGCAGAGACAGATTTGGTTTGGCAAGTTAGAAGCTCGAATTATTGTTGGAGGTGTTAGATGAATCTTGTAGACTCTGCTGCAATAAGTTAAGATTGTACGTAAAATTTGAGCAGTTTAAGGAAGCTTGTGTTTTCTGCAAGATCAAAATGACTGGTACCTTTGCTGTGTTGTATAATTTTAATTTAATACTTAAAATAGTGACGTAAGATATTTAAAGTTGACATGTATTTGTCTGTTTGAAAATTTAAGATATCCTAGTGGAAAGAACTCGCCACAGATTCAACGTAATACCTAACGTAGCGTGCAAGACTGCCCGTAAAGATTAGTCGATTACCAGATAGATGTTACTACTTTTGCACTACTTTGCTGTTACGATGTTTCATAAATTTTACAAATGTATTTAATGTTCGTCAGTAATTAAGTAATATTATTAAATCTTTTTCCTGGCCATTCTCCATTTCATTTGACAGCTGGTACAAGTAGAAATAATTGGGATATCATAATTACAACATTAAATCTTACAGGTATATTCCCACCACAGTAACTGTGCCGCACGCCTATAATTTTGATGGAGAGCATCCAGGGACACGGATCCGGGGAGTCTCCTACCATTAAACCACTCGAGAGGACGTTCGGCTCGCTGGTAAAGTAAGTTCCCTCGTGCCGTTAAGCCACTATAGGGAAACATTACAAACAGCTACACCTTCTTCCGGATTCGAACTCAAAAGTGACGATACGGCACCCAGCATAACTAACCACTATACCGATCAGGGTGGCTTGCTTTTGGCTTCTTTAATCCAGGCAGCAGATTCTTCAGAAATCTTGTACGGAGCCTAACTATCTAAACTGTTAAAATTTTAGTTCCCTGAGAGAGCCAGAATGAAAACAGCTGCAACAGAACCAGCCTTCAGTTTTCTTTAATAAAGCCAGCCTTCACTAACAAATTAGAACACTGGAAGATGCCGTAACTTATCCCAGCGTCCTAATTTTTCAGTGAAGTAACACGGAGTCCGGGAAAGATATGAAAAAAATCTTTTTATCTTATCTTCATACTAACAATTCCCGCAGCACGGGTAATAATTTCTAACACTTGGGGGATTAAGAGAATGCAACGGTTAACGCAAAATTTAAGTATTTTAAAATATGAAAATTCAAAAGAAAAATTTCGCCTATATGTTCTACCTTAGAACCTCGACTCACGCAAGTAAACAAGATTAGCACAGACTAAAATCGATTAAAGTTTGCTTAGAAGTTGTATGAAAATAAGACTATGATTATTAACGGTAGCTGCCAAAAACCTCTGTTCTTCTTATGCATATTACCAATTTACATGCCGGTGAGAGTCAACGAAAATTTACGTGACAGTCAAGACAAAATAATGAAGTGAAAGGTTAAATCAAACATATTACCCGGTTATCGTCACTTTTGAGTTCGAATCCGGAAGAAGGTGTAGCTGTTTGTAATGTTTCCCTATAGTGGCTTAACGGCACGAGGGAACTTACTTTACCAGCAAGCCGAACGTCCTCTCGAGTGGTTTAATGGTAGGAGACTCCCCGGATCCGTGTCCCTGGATGCTCTCCATCAAAATTATAGGCGTGCGGCACAGTTATTGTGGTGGGAATATACCTGTAAGATTTAATGTTGTAATTATGATATCCCACTTATTTCTACTTGTACCAGCTGTCAAATGAAATGGAGAATGGCCAGGAAAAAGATTTAATAATATTACTTAATTACTGACGAACATTAAATACATTTGTAAAATTTATGAAACATAACAGCAAAGTAGTGCAAAAGTAGTAACATCTATCTGGTAATCGACTAATCTTTACGGGCAGTCTTGCACGCTACGTTAGGTATTACGTTGAATCTGTGGCGAGTTCTTTTCACTAGGATATCTTAAATTTTCAAACAGACAAATACATGTCAACTTTAAATATCTTACGTCACTATTTTAAGTATTAAATTAAAATTATAATTAAAATTATAATGACTACAGAATTTTTCGAAAAGAACAGTCTTTATTGAGTTCAGCAATTAGTCTCAGGTCTGTCAATAACTAAGTTTTATTCAAACGAGTTTTTTCTACATAACATTCAGCCATTATGGACCCGATCCAAAAGCACTGCCGAATACACGCTTGTAACCTTTCTCTGATAGATCTCATATCAGGTATAAGCGTGTCGGATTATATGGTGTGCCTTACCATTGGGTGACAGATTACAGGGCTTTTCCTGCATTTGTTATATGACGTTAATTTCAGACATTTTTGCTAACAGTGTTTTTATGGAAAAAAAAATTAAATTTAAAAAATAAAGGCAAAGAATGAGCATTTGGCATTGGCCAAAAATATAAGCTACTCCTATTTTTAACATAGCTTTAAAAATAGTAATCAAATACAAAATTTTATCTGCATACAATTCAGAATTTCTTCTTAAAGTTAGCACAGTTTGTAAAAAACAAAAACAAACAAACAATTTAATTTTGAACTCTCCGATCTCAGAATCGGTGAGTAACACATTCACGCATTCACCTTTTATCCTAAATATACGCAGGGAACGTTTTTATCGCGTTCAACTTCAATCAGTTTTGGAGAAATTAAGGTATTATTATTATTATTATTATTATTTAACGTTTTTATAAATTTTGTACGCGTGGTCAGAAGTTCAATTCCTTTTTATTTTTTCAAAACGAATTTTGTTAAAATTACCTAGCTACTTTTGCTTCAATGCTAGTTTTATTCTTCTGTTGTGCTAGAGAGTTGATTAATTTGAAAATTAGGGTAGTTCTAACAGAAAATGTCAAAATGTAAAGAATTTAATGTTGCCAAAAGAATCGAATCTTATTTTTAAATAAGCAAGGAATATTTCAAGTTGAAATTGCCAAATATATTACGTGTTCACGGTATATAATATATTTTATAACACTTTTAAGGAAACAGCTGTTCACATTTCAATAGAAAAAGAATTGGGAGAAAAAAAAAAGTAACGCGACACGTGACTATCGAATTTTGATTAAAGAATCAGTACGAAATCGGAGGAAAAATTCAAGTAAGCTTGCTGCAGAGTTACCAGAGGATACTGGCGTTGAATTTGTGCTCAAATTGTAAGAAGGATACTTATAGGAGCTGGTCTTAAAGATTAGCTATCTAAAATGAAATCCTCGCTGCCAGAAAAAAATAAATAATCTTTAAAAAAACCTCCAAAATATGAGAAAAAATTTTTGGTTATAAAAAGACTAGACTTTTAAAAAATATCATTCTCTCCTTGATTTTGAGGTGTTTGGTACATCCACTGCATCCCATGTGAAACGAAGAAAGGGTGAAGGTTACTATACAAAGTGTTAAGTTTCCGGTGTAAAACTTGCAAGAAGGGAATATTAGAATCTGGGAATGCTTGACAGCTAGTGACATAGGCAAAATATAAATTTGTGAGCTTTATATGAAAGCCAAAAACGCTTAACTGTTCTTGAAACAACTCCAGAGCTATTTTTTTGTGTGTGTGAATTATTCGGTGATTCAAACATGGTTGGCATCAAAATTTCAGCAAAATAACACACCATAGGGTACTTAAAAATAAAGTTAAAATTTAATGATATAATACGGTTAAAAATTAATCATAAATCGGTGACTTCAAAGCAGTGGATTCTTCATAATAATAGTGATGTTTCAGACCACCACTACAGATCTTAACCGGACAAAGCACCTGAGGCGCCTTTTAGAGTGAAAGCTATGCTAACACAACATGGCATCCAAATTTTCCTTAAAAATTATCTCGAGCAAGTTTGAAATGGCATATATATGTGGAACAGTGTTGTAAACTAGAGGCTGGTATGTCAAGCAGAGTTGCTGCGTAATTAAGGTTAAAAGTGAAAACACCATATATTAAAATTGTGAATAAATTTTATTTGTGTTTAACAACAAAAATTTTAGTTTTTATTTGTATCAAATTATTTCATAATAAATGCATTACTATAGTGCGCTTAATACTTTTGGTATAGCTGTATGAACCTCGACTTACCTGGTACCCGTGACACGTTTGTACTCGTTTTCTGAATACACGGCTAGAATGCTGACTCCTGAACCAATATTGACTACTAGGAAAGGGTAGGGATTACTGAAGTCAAAAGGCACCTTTTTGCATTTCTCATCATCAACGGGTTCACTCCAATAGTAGCATTCTCTTCGGTTGTATTGTTCTACAAACTGAATGCCCCGTATGAGGGAATCCATCTCGTCAAATTTGTGGATCGTTAAAAATACTTCCTGAAAATACAAAATGGATTTAATATATTCTTCAAAGGGGAAACATTCTAATACGAAGATAAAATATCCCTTTTACGAACTAGAACAAAAAATAATTCGTAAGACAACGTTTAAGATTTTTATCAAGCAACCATACATGGTTAAATATATGGCTAATTTATCATGATTGTTGGCTAAATTGCGACATGAAATAGTCTTAGTTTTTAGGTACTAACATTTAGGAAAATTTTATATGTGAACCTTCTCGTTTTTCATAAATCACATCTTTCTTGCCACATACGTAGCATTTGCTTTTTGACAAGAATTTTCACAGTGTATTCCGAGACTATAACGATGCCCACCTGTTTCCCCAGCTATCTCATTGCTAATTAAATTTGGATTACGTCGAACTGAATAAAGTTGAAGTTTGAATTTTCGTTGGATATTATTCATATTTCTTTCAAATATTTTGCATCTGTACGTTACAGCGGAGGTTTTCACCTTTTTTTCGCGCATCTCTTACTGAGATTTTGTAATTTTAGAGTACCCCTATTCGTATAATATAATATATTTTACAATAGTATTATCGTAATATCATACAATTAACAAACTGCAACAATTAAAATCATCAAATTATATGTCTCTCCCCACATACACAGTGAATGATAATTTTGATCCTGCTTTAAGAGAAATAAATCTTCATCAAAAAGATCTGAAATCCTCATTTTGTTTGGACAAATAATGTTTAAACAAGGCTTTGGTAGAGATTTAAAGTGGGTTATCTTCGCTTTGATTTCGTTTGAATAATGAAGTTCATTTTTCCGAGGATAATTTGTACAGTATCTCGAAAATTTTGATCTGATATTTTTCATCACGATTCTCTAAAACTCTAACTAACAAGTGTAAAACCATTTTTTCAGATACTTTTAAACAGTTATGGAACTATTTCGTAATTCTTAGCTGCGTTTATTTATTTAAAAAAATATCGGATAGTTATACACAAGTCCTTGAAGTCATTCACGACAAATCTCTAACTTAATCGAAACAGGCAGTTTCTAAAAAAATGCTTGACGCAAACGCCAAATCAGAACTATTTGTTAGCTTTTTTAATTTACCACGCGCATTCGTATATAGTTAGAAAGCACGTTCAGTCAGCAATCCGAAGAGAGGGAGTTCGAGTACCGACGAAGGCATTACGGATTTCTTCGGCTTCTTGGCTTCGAAAAATTCTAAATGCCTCTACATATTATACACAAGTTTTTTTTTTTAAAGCAAACACAAATCTACTCTTTAACTATTTATCCATTTTTCTACAAAGCACGTTTTATATTTAGCAATTTAAGTGAAAACGAATTTAAAACTATAGAGTCAAAAACTGGTTTGTCTGTTACAGTTTAAAGAACATGAACTAACAACTGACTACCAGCTACCAGACATTCACTACACATGAGGCATTATCACACAGCAGAAAAGGAAGGGCTACAGAGAATGCGTTAGGTATCATCTTATTCAATGCTTTCGTACAAATTTCGGTCAGTAAGAGTCGCATTGAAAATAATCAGAATTCCTCTCTTTTTCACCCAATGTTAAATTTTAATTTTCTGAATACTTTTATTTCTAGCATCATTTATCACAACACTTTGTTATTTCCCGGCCGTTCCTAATAATTTTTTACGTATCCTTGATTAAGTCAATGAGTACGTCTAGAAGCATGCGCGCCACAGGTTGGGAAGTAATAATAGGAAGTAATGCTACATTAGAAAGTAAATACTTAAATAACGACCTTAAATAATGAATATGCAACAAATTTCTCTAAAATGGACCATCACGGTTTCAGAAGTTTCTAATATCCTTAAAGTTGGATATTATGAAGAATTCAATAAAGCCGTCAGAAATATCAGCCACCATTAGAAGTGGTTATCTGCAGATGGCGATCACCATGAATAGCCCACGGTAATCTTTAGTATCTATTAATGTAAACTTCAGTGGTGGTTCTGATTAATAAAAACAATATCACCATTAACATGTGGTGCATTAACTTCAGTAAAATACATTGCTAATCAAAATTTAAGCTGAAAAAATATGCCTATTGCCTAAGTTTTCAACCACTGCCCAATGGCATAATTATTTATGTTAATTACTTGCAACTGAATGCAAACTCGGTTTCTACACATAGGTTAGTGCATAAAATATGCAAATTAGGCAATTGAGAAGTTGTACAAAAATTAAAAAGAATGATTTACTTTTACCTTCTGGAAATCCTCTTCAAACTTGTAGGCACCTCCACCTGTGGCGCAGACTGTACTAGAGACAGAGGCAATCCTCTTGGTCTTCACTAGACGAAGTAACATCTTCATCTCGCTAGTGGGGAAGCGAATGAAATGCAGAGATCCTCGCCGATGATTCACCACCACATCATCCATCTGATAAGAGAATCAGGAATCGTTACTGACCAAACTATAAAGTGCATTTAGTCTTCTTAGTCTCACACAAAACAAACTCTAGAAGTTTTTGCAAAATAAATAGCTTTAGATAAATTAAACTGCTGATTTCCATGGACGAATATATTTACCATAAAGCTTATGTCTTTCCATGTGATGGACGAATATACTCCGTCAGTACAGACAACAGATGTCACTGCCCATACTGTAAATGCATTAAAGGAAGTTAACGTAAAGGAAGTACTGTAAATGCATTAAGAGAGGTTAATTTCTCCAAAGTTTCTGGCCATTACTTTTTTTGCCTAGGTTTGACTCTGACTGGCTTTTCTGAAAACTAAAGTTTTTATTCCAGGTGTGCAATTTTCGCATAATGGCTACTACAAGAGTGATCAATGCCGATGATGCTGTGGAACGTTTGTTTGGCAGTGGTTCTGAAGACGAAACTGGGTCAGATTACAGATAAGATTGTGAGTATAAACCACAAACTAGTCAAGAAAATGAAAGAGACGATCAGTGTCTAAACATTAACAGTACGTGTAGTATTCATTAACTGTACGTCGGAAAAGTACCGCAAGCTAAATGTGGAAAAAATCGTGCTTAGCCATATAAGTCTTTACCTGGTTGAAGTGTTACGGAGTATTTTGTGGCACCATAACCAAACCCTACTGTACATAAGAAAGGGGGAAACAAAACGAGACAGTCGACAAGTGAAAACGACACTGCTGCTTATGAAGACAGTTGGCCACTAATGCAGAAGAAGGCCCACTTCACCTGAAATTTTGGGAGCCCTTCGTCTTAAAATGAAAGGTATGCTTATTACTGTTAAAAATTTAATCAATGATTTCCTGAGTTTCGTGGAATACGAGGCTCCTAGTGACTACGAATTGCGAGACCCCATAAACCTGTCTCTGTACCAATGAGGAATGGAATTGGTGAATACCACTCATTAGCATAAGAAATGTCTTTTTAAAACAGAGCTTATTAGTATGTTAATCCCCAGACCTCAATCTGTGATCCCCAGACCTCAATCTGTGCAATTTTTGGCTTTGAAGGGATTTTAAACATCTGGTAAGTCGTGACAATCCGAGAACTTTACCTGATAGTAAAGCCAGCATTTCACACCACGTGCTCAACATTTGCTAGCACACACTTATTTTGCTATTTTGCTAGCACACACATTTGCTAGTCCCACGTTAACTGTGGGACCATGACATCTTGCAATTTCAGATGATAGCTGAAAATGATGGCCATCTTGTGGAACATGTTCTGTAGTAATAAAATTTGTAAAATCGCAAAGCTATTGTTCCGTCTTTTCGGTAGATAGGTGGCGCTCTTGGTGCGCGTCAATGAAAAATGTTCCACTTGACGCTTGAACATGAAGAATGACGCCTGTCATACTTTTTTTATGCTTGATTATGTTTCATGGCCGCTATAGGCGGAAGTAATATACTATATCATTAAGTTTATCGTTAATAAATGTTATTTCTATGTTCTGTGAAATCTTGAAGTTTTGATTGCCAATTCTAATGCTCTCCCAACCTGACTCCTGAAAACGAAACAACTTAGAAATTATGACTCATGAACCACCACTCATTTTGGTGTCTGAAACCCTCGAAAAGGTGAATTACCTTTTGAAAGTTAAGAATTTTGATTTATTTGTTCTTAGTATCGATCTTTGAAAACGAAACATAATGGATGATTTAGCAAAAGAGAAAAAGAAACGTACGTCTTTTGTGCTTTCAAAGAGCCGTGTATCCCCACTTAAAAAATTAACCTTGCCTCGTTTAGAACTTATGGGAGCCATTATTGCCGCAAGAATAGTTAAATATTTAAGGAAATTATTAATATCCAAGAAGATAATGTATTTTGTTTTAGTGACTCTAAAATTGTTCTTCACTGGATCAGGGGTAGCGCTAATAAATGGAAACCCTTTGTTACCAATCGTGTACGTGTATCACCTTCGCAATGGAAATACTCTAAGGGAAATGACAATCCGGCTGACATAGTTTCACGTGGATTAAGAGCTTCTGATCTAGTGGGAAATAAACTTTGGTTCAATGGGCCAGTGTGGTTAAAAGAAAAAAAATTACCTCCATCATCTTTTCATTCTTTGATCGAGCCTATGGTGGAAGAAGTACAGGTAGAACAGCGTCAAACTACTGTATGTTCTGTTATTAGCCAAGAGGCTGAATTTGAATTGACATCCAGGTTTTCATCCTGGAAAAAATTGAAACTCGTAACTGCATGGTGTTTAAGATTCTGCCACAATATTAAACCTACATCTTTAAAACTCAAGGGTTTTTTAACAGTTCAAGAATTGGATAAGGCAAGCAATTTGATTTTTAAAATCATGCAAAATTCCGAATTTAGAGAAGAAATTAGACTTTTGAAAGCAGGAAAGAAATTGAATCTCAGCAGTAAAATCCTGAAATTAAATCCTTTTCTTGATAGAGAAGAAATCCTTAGAGTCGGTGGTAGACTCTGTAACTCGAATCTTTCAGAAAACACAAAGTATCCAATCATTCTTCCCAAAAGTCACCAAGTTACTGAATTGATAGTCAAACACTTTCACGAAGTGAACCTTCACGGAGGAGCCACATTAACATTATCTGCTCTGCGACAGAAATATTGGATCATTAATGGCCGAGAAATTGTAAGAAAGATCATTTGGAAATGTATAAAATGTTTTAAAAATCGAAAAAGCGCATCCAGTCAGATAATGAGCGACCTACCTGCTTCTCGCGTATTGCCGGATAGAACATTTTTGAATACAGGACTGGATTTTGCAGGCCCCTTTTTAATCAAAGCTAGGAAAGGAAGAGGGGAAACGAGATATAAATGTTATGTTTGCCTTTACATATGCTTCACCACAAAGGCCATTCACCTAGAAGTAGTCAGTGATCTAACAACTGAAGCATTCCTAGCATCTCTGAAAAGATTTGTGTCGCGCAGAGGAAAACCCAATAAAATCTTTTCAGATAGAGGAACCAACTTTGTTGGGGCTGATCGAGAATTAAGAAGATACATAGCTACACTTTCCTCTGAGGAAGCATTTGAAAACTACCTGAGCGGTGAAAATATTCAATGGATCTTCAATTCTCCTGCTGCCCCTCACTTTGGAGGCCTTTGGGAGGCTGGAGTGAAACAAATGAAGATTCACTTAAAGCGGACTATTGGGACCCAGGTTCTGACATACGAAGAATTTCACACCTTAATTACACAAATCGAGGCGTGTTTGAATTCCAGGCCAATAGTTTCCATCTCATCTGACCCTGAAAATTTTAATCCTTTAACACCTGGACATTTCCTAATTGAGACTACATTAGCAGCAATTCCTGAACCTGATCTTACAAATAATAAGCTAACCCCTGCTGAAAGATAGAAATTGACACAGCAAATTTTCCAGAGCTTTTGGAAACGTTGATCTAGAGATTATCTTTCACAATTACAAGGGCGTACCAAATGGTTGAGGGATAAACCAAATTTAGCCCTCAATGACTTAGGTTTAATAAAGGACGAAAATTTGTCTCCATTAAAGTGGCGACTTGCACGAGTAATTGAACTATATCCTGGTTGCAAATGAATGAAATCCATATGTAACTGTTGAAGGGTTCGCAGAGACGTTAATTTCTCATCGAATGTCCACTTGCATTTGAAGGAGCGTGGAATTGTGTATAAGTTTGGCGGATGGGTTCCACATGAACTCAATTGAGGTTAATCAAAAAGAATGTGTTAACAACATTTGCGCTGCTCTTCATTCTTCAGTGGAAAATTACACTTTTTTGAGCTTTTTAACATTTATTCTGAAATTTGGCAAATTTTATTGAAAAAGTGTAATTCCAATGCGATGATGAAAACAGACCTACAGGCATTCGCTAATAAGCCTTCTGATTTTTTGTAGGAAAACCTATTACAGTGTAAGGAACGTTATTGATTCTGATGAAGAATTCGCAGTTTATTAAATTGGTATCTTAGTTTTTTTATTTCTTCAAAAACATACTTTGAAAAATGACATTACTTATGGAGTGACTGATATAAGGGAAAATTGTGCAATTTAATGGTTATTATGAAGTCAGTTTAGCATTTTAAAACTTGTGCGATTGGCGACATTTATAAGGTACTGCAAGAAATTAAATTAATTCATTTATTTTGCAGGAGATTCATCAAAATTTGAATAACGTTTGTCAGATTTCTAATAATTTCAGAGAAGAAGCGTATAGGCAGAACACAAGTTCTCACCCTTTTTGGTCCTATGCTCCCTTTTCACTACTTCACGACGATTATCTCTCTTCCTCCTTTCCAAAATTCGAAAAATGCATATACGTTTATTAAATTCGTAGGATCATTCTTATAATATGATTAGCGCATGTAAACTAATCTTAATAAACTGCAAGTGCTACAAAGCACAACACTGAGAGAAACAAAAGCTAGTAGACGGTTCATGCAAAATGATAGATGGTTCATTCAGTCCAATGCAAAAGTCTGGAAATTTTTCAGAAATATTGAAAGTGTAAACAACAAAAGTATCCCATAACTGGTAATGATAGCGTAAATAAATAAATTAAAAAAACTGGTGCAGTGCTCTATTACTTGGCTTATTGTTTTATTCTAAATTAAGTACAACACCGAAATCAGTGCGATTATTCCCCCCCTCAGCCAACCTCGAGGTATTATTTGTTAACTCCTTACTTCCAGAGTATCACAAACTTTCTGGCTCCGGACATCACTACTACGCTTCCACAACTCCTCACACTTGGTTTCTTCGTCGGTTCTGCGGCCAGAATTGAACATCTTTCCCAACTTATAAGAATTTTTCGACTTGACCTTAGCGCCTTTCTTCTCTGCATCTCGGAGTATTCCAGTACTCTGAATTTCCACCTTCGAAATGCTAATTGCAATTGCTATCAATTTTCACTATATTACACATAGGATAGGACTACATCCTAGCGCCTGTCCCATGTGACCTGCTCACCAAAGTCATTTATTTAAATTTAGATTGTTTATAACGTGTTTTATAAATTAAACGAGAAAATGTACTGAAAATTCTTATAGATACCAAAATTTTAATAAACTTAGTTATTTTCATAAAACAAAACTAAGTACTTAATATGTAAATAAAAGGCTAACCGCATCCTCCCTGAACCTATGAAATTCCTGCTGGATTTTTATTATGATTTTTTTCTGGTTCAAAACCCCTGAGGTGGAAGTTAGACCAGCATGTCTGCATCACCATAGAGGTGTTGCTGGTACTTAGCCAGCTGTTACGCTTATACCCCAGTTTTGAAAAAGATCATCCCAGAAAGCAGCCAGCAGGTCTCCCGCCCCTTTTCCCTCGCCACCAAACTCTGGACAGGATTTCCGGCTCGTCCTATATTTTGAGTGCCCCCACGCAGCGCAGACATGACACGCTTACAAACATCGGTGCCTACTTCGGAATCGCAAAAACCGAGGACGCTTTCATGTACGTGGCAACATAATTTGAAAACAAGTAATAAAAAAAAATTTAAAGTCAATTCCTACTTAGGTCAATAAAGAAAACTTTTATTTTAGTTACTTTTTATTAAAATTATTAACATTTATTCGTTTCTAATTTATGAAGCTGATGGTGGTCTATAATTTCTCATTCTATCCATCTCTCGAAATGCTTCATTATTGCAAGGAACCTCTCCAGTGAGTTTTGAGCAGTCTAGTTCTTCAATTTGTATTCCATATAATGATTTCACACGACTCAAGGCGACATATGTCTGACCTCAAGGCGACATATGTCTGTTGCGAAGAGGTTACGTCCTAGACATATTACTGCATAATCTACAGTGTTATTTATTTATTTTAATAAGCAAGGGTCATTTTAAAGAGTTATATTTTAAACATATATTATTATCACGTTAACATAGAAATATGAGGAGAATTTTCGTTACATAATGGGACATTACATCCGCTTCATCCAACTCTATAAAACTACAATTCTATAGTTCCATATACTTTAAAAATCTTTAGAATTCTGTCTTACTGTTGCCACTTATTTTTGTTAAATATTACAATCCCACTTATTTCAGTCATGCACTATTTTTTATAAGTTGTTATAAAATTAATTTGTGAACGTGAGAATTCCTAATAAACGGTCAAAATCGAAATCGAAATCGAGTCAATGGCTAGGCGGCAATTAGTAGCCAACCGCTACTTTAACCGTCTCTGTTGGTAAATTGCCCTAAGGCGTTGGTACTTAAGTTTTTATTAAGGCGATTTACGCCGCGCCACTAGGCGAAACTTGTCAAATTTTGTGAAATGTAGGTGGAGTAGACGGAAATGATTGGCAGGAGCCTGTCACGTGGGTGGTGACCCACCCAAGTTCGGACTCCGAGCAAAGCAGCTTAAGCGTGCAATGAGAAATATTGGATATATTAATAATTATCAAGTTTTGAAACAGGTTATCCAGATTGGAATAATTAAACTAATATCGCGATCTAAATGAAGACAAATGTCACAACTAAGTGCAACAGATTAGCTAAACAAAATATTCAAATTCATCCTTGCTGTAAAACACAGATTGGACAGTGGTAGTCACGTGGGGGTCACCCTCCCGTGAACTGTCCACAGCCAATGCATCTTGAAATAGTAGATATCACAATTCAGTGAAGTCTTGGTCTGAGAAATTAAACACTAAAGTTCTTGTACAACACTGAGGCACACGAGTTACTGAAACTATACACTATGTACATATAGGGACGGTCATTATTTGTAAGTCTTTATATATATGCGGCTTAAGTTTGTCGCCGATAGTTCATTGGTTGCTTGCGTAACTTAAATTGTTTTATTCCTCGTGCAGTGCAGCGCGTGAGGAATATTATGAGAAAGCTAAGCCGGAAAAAATAAAAATACAAGAGCACGTGCATTTAACATTTAATAAATAAATTTAACACCTATATATATTAGAATTCGTAAATATGCAACCGGCAAAAACCGGCATCGATGGAAAGAAAAAAAAAAAAAAAATAAATAAATAAATAAAATAAAATAAAAAATAAAAATAAAATAAAATAAAATAAATAAATATATTTATTATATGCGGCTTAAGTGTCTGTTTGTCGCCGATAATTTATTGATTGCTTGCGTAACTGTACTAGCCAATGGGTTGAAGTTGCCACGGCACAGGGTTCCCGTTTGAAATGAGACGCAGACAATTTCCTGTAAAACTTGCCTTTGCTATGACCATCAATAAGTCTCAGGGCCAAACGCTTAAGCTTGTTGGCATTTTTTACCTGAGCCTGCATTTCGACGCGGTCAACTTTATGTTGCCTGTTCAAGAGTTCGTGAAAGAACGGACGTAAAATTAAAAATAATTGATGGTCCTCTGCAAGGCGAGCCAAAAAATGATGGAAAGATCTACACAAGAAATGTTGCGTAGAAAGAGATCTTTGACATGTGAATTAACATTTTATTATTTAAATCCCCTTTATTTATTGAGCTAGCGGTGGTTCTTAAGAAATATACCGCCAGTGGTTTCCTTCATTGCACTCTACTTTAAGCAAGTAGAAGGGGCAAACCCCGTAGGGCAGTAAGCAAAGGGGCGTCCTCGCCGCCTGCCCTGCGTAATTCAGTTTGAATTAGAAGACACCTTTGCACAAATAATTTTAATTACAATTTCTAATATCTAGAACAGCGGTCATTTCGTATGACCGCCGGGCTTTCTAGTATAATATATTTAATAAAAACAGCATATCTTTTGTTCCGATAAACAAGAATAAATAAGTAGGAATTGATTTTAATATGTGAACAAAACTGTATTAACATCAAGTGCCATTCACTACAAGTTTAAAAAAATGTATTTGAACTTGAATGGATGAATAAAAAGTATTTTATTAACGATGGAAAATTTGAACAAGATATAGGAAGAGTGTGAACTAATAGTAGGAATTTAAAAAGATCACCATATTGAGTTACATTAACGCTTTAGGAAATGGTTCAGATACTGAACTATTTATAATATGATTCAGGTGTAAAATCTATTTACAATTGATTAGATATTACAGGTTTTATGTTATTTCGCAAGTTTGACCTTGTAATTGCAGTTTTAGCTGAGAAAACCCCGAGTAGAAAAGGAAACCTTTTGTTTATTGGTGTACTTTTAAAAACGATGAAGACAAAATTAATTATTCATGCACATACTACTGCAAGTAATATACCATATATTGATAGAGGAGAATGGAATTTGTTCAATTTAAGTTTCATTAATGCAATACATTTCATTTATTACTAGGAAACATTTTGCTTCGTAAAGGCTAAAATTTAAAAACCGGGAGATGTGATGAAAAACCGTAAAAGTTTTCCGCTATGCATTGCCAATGACGTATCAAAAGTAAATGCCGATGAAGTATCAAAAGTATATATATTATAATAACGCGAATTTAATTTCCGTAAGGTTTTAAAACACCATAAAAAATTTTATGTTGTTTAAATTTTTATATGCAGTTTGTTACATAATAGTAGCATTAATTAAAAAATTAACAAAACTTTAAACACTGAAAAGATCTTTGCAATTAAAATAAAGGTATTTAATTATATTAATTCTAAGTTAAATAATAAAAATAAAAATAGGATTAAAAAAACCTGTAAATGGTTATATTAATTCTAGTTAAATAATAAAAAATAAAAATAGGATTAAAAAAAAACCTGTAAATGGTTATATTAATTCTAAGTTAAATAATAAAAAATAAAAATAGGATTAAAAAAAAACCTGTAAATGGACATCTCTGGTGCCAATATTGCAGTAAGCAGATCTACCTTTGACGAACTCCTTCAAGTTCTGGTGGGCATCGGATACTTCCTCCGAGCCATCCGTTGGTTCAAAATACACAACTTTGACCAGAGATCCGCCTATGTCGATTCCAAACCAAGGCATAGCTGGAAAAAAAACTAAATTAAGTTGCTACGAATGTCGGTAGGTATAGGTATATATATATATAAGAAAGCGAGACACTATAATTTCACCATAGGTTGTACAGGTAAGCGCCGAATGTGGTAGCCTATTTATATAGCGTCATGAAAAGTTGTGCAGTGATAAGTGATAATGTATATATAATGTTGAATACGCACAGTGCCGAATTTGTGTAACTATCTGATGTTTTCTATGTGAAAACAAATCGCTGTGTACATGGAGAGAACAATAGTTTCGTCACTCCCATGTACATTGCAATCTGTTTTCGCTCAAAAATAAATTCTGACAACTGCACATATTTGGCATTGCGCGCATAATATTCATTATATATAAAATAGTTACTTTTTTCATAAAGCTTTAGGTATCGTTAGGATTGCCGTCATCTAACTAGATTTCGCGCTAATATTTATGTTTGGCGCTAAGTGGCACCCCGTAAAGAGAAAAGTTAACTTTCCTGCATGTCTTGTTCCCCCCCCTGGAATGTCTATTATACTGGATGAGATGTGTAATTCTGACATTTTCAGATATGGGGGCATATTACACCGTGTAAGTCCTCATCAAGACGATTTTTAAAACCGTTGGTTATAAGCATTATTTCCAATTATAAAAATATTTCTAATCAAGTAATAAGCATATTTAAATTTAAAAAAGCAGCTTCGTAACAATTACGAAATTAAAGTTTTTATACTTTTTTTTTTTTAAATTTTGCGTTGGCGGCCAAGCGGTGAAAGCCGCTGAATACTGGTAGTCCAGCACGGCGAGAGGGCTAGCATGGCGTTTTCATGGTTTTCTCCCACGAGTAACATAGATGCGAGCCAGGTTTCCTTAAAAAGACATTCCCGGAGCATACCTCCGTTTTAAAGGACGGTACACTAATTGCAGAGACAATTTTTGTTTCATTTATACATAATTAGGCATAAAATATCTGTTTAGAAAAGGGTTTGCAAGATCAACAGATGAAGACATCAGCATTTTTAGGTAGATGGTCGCAAAAAATATTGATCAATACAAAGTTTTTCAATTTCACACAGTCTTATAGAATTAGTTCTCTGAAAAGCACTAGCAAGTTTCAGTATCGGTACATAACCAAGTCGTAACATTGCATGCATAAAATAAAAATTTAAAATATTTCTAGTTTAATGAATACCCTGCATAATTAAAATTAATAACGTATTTTTAGCTTTAAAACTTATCAATTACTTACATGGAAATTCTTTCGCTATACCAATGGTAACAAACCTATAAACTTAAGAATGTTACACATTATAAACCACAAAACTCACTGAATGGTTTTTAAGGAGCAAAATAAATCTGGAATTATTCTAATCTATTTAGTAACGGGCTGCTCAATGCAAGTAAAAAATGAAATTAAATATTACAGATTCTGAAATTAAATATCTCCGTCAATATTCTCATGCGGAATCTTTTTTTTTTAAAACAATGAGTACAAAATTTTCCTAAGCGTAAGGATAAGAACCAAGGGAGAATATCTAAAACGTTAGATTTCGTAATTTTTACAAAACTGCTCTTTTTAAATTTAAAAATACCGAAATGTTAACAATTGCGCCATTCAAAGCATTTCTGTAACTAGTCTACGACCAACGGTTGCGGGAGTACCGCTGTTTTTTGTGACTTTGTAGACACAATGTATATTTCGCATTACGCACAAAATACACTCATGTCCATAAATTAAGGATAATGCAAAATCAAAGGAAGAGTTAGAAGCAAAACAAATTTGACTTATTTGTAAAGCTTATTTATTAAACAAAAGGTAAAGAGCAAAAAAAGATGCTATATGTTGGATATTATTAAAAAAATTGGCGATTTTTTCTCCCTGGAGCAAATTGCAAAAAACACTTATTTACAAAAAACCAATATTACATGGTTGGTATGATTTTTAATACATTGTATGTCTCCCAGACGATGCAATACAGTCCGTACAACACCTAGGTATGCTGAGTATGAAATTATCGATCTGATCTTGGGGGATATTACACCACTCAAACGCAATGCTCTCCGAAGTTCCGGTAGACATGTAGGAGGAGGTTGACGGGCTGCAACTCGTCGGCCAAGCATGTCCCACACGTACTCTACTGGATTCAAGTCCGGTGAGAATGCTGGCCAGTCCATACGGGTGATATCCTCCGATTGAAGGCATTCGCTTACGATGTTTGCACGGTGAGGACGGGCGTTGTCATCCATAAACACAAATTGTGCGCCCATGGCGCCCCGAAACAAACGTACATGTTGTTCCAGAATGACGTCTCGATAGATTTGGCTTGTCATGGTTCCAATTTGAACATGCAGGTCAATTCTGGAACCCAGAATAATTCCACCTCAAACGAGCACTCATGCACCACCGTAACAGTGTCGTTCAGTGATGTTTTCTTGGTGGTAACGGGTACCCGGAGCTCTCCATATGAAAGTCCGGCGAGAATCAGACTGCAAGCTAAACCTGGACCGTCGGAAAACATCCCACAAGCCCATTGTTGCGGTGTCCACAATGCATGCTCTCTACTCCAGGCTAACCGCAGGCGACAGTGAGTTGCAGTAAGTGAAACGCATCTGACAGGTCTACGAGCATATAGACCAATCTGCCCTAAGCGTCTGTACACGGTCTGCCTTGAAATTGTCGTACCAGTGGCTGAAGAGAGCTGGCGAGACAGGTCTGAGGCTGTGCTCCGCCTGTTTCTTTTGGCAGTAACTGCCAAATACCGGTTCTCATTCGGCGTTGTAACTCTGGGGCAACCTGTGCTGTAACGTCTACTCACATTACCATCATCTTGGAATCTTTGCCAAAGCCCGGAGATGACACTCTGGGCAATTCCAAGTTCGTCTGATACTTCCAGTTGGGTACGCCCACATTCCAGACGGCCGATAATTCTACCACGTAAAAAATCATCCAAATGCGTCCTTTGTGTCATAACTATTCAGTTATTGCACTGAAATGCTTATAAAGCGCCTCCGAACAATTTTACTTCTTTGCATGTATTTCTTATATATCACTCTCTTACACTCTCGTCATTGTGGCGTACCATCGGTGTCATCTGGTTACTTCCTGAAATTTGCATATGATTCTTGAAGATGTGTGTAGTGATTTTACAGGTGATATATTTGTTTTAGAGTTCGATTTCCGCGTGACTCCGAATTATCCTTAATTTATGGACATGATTGTGAATTACTATCATTATTTGTGTGCAATTTATAACTTAAAATTTAATAATAATAATTAATTTTATGTTATATATCTTCCTTGTGCAATTTATGACTTGAGATTTAAAAATAATTATTAGTTTTATTAACCTTATGCCGATCCAGCGTTTTCCATAATGGTGCGCGCCCCCTTATGCAAGTTCGATTTTTATTTCAGTTACCGATTGATTAATTAAGCAGAGGATCAAATGAATTTTTGGCACTTTTTCGAAATACGGTGATTAAATCTTTGGCATTTTTATGAAAAATGGTCAGTTTGCATAAGGTGTCCGGAAGAAAAACGCTAAACTGTTATAAAGCTGCCCGCACCTTTATGTAAACTTTATGATTTCTTTATGATGATACCTTTACGAATACCTTTATACGATACATTTATGAATAGTATATGGGTTGAAAATGGTATATTAAATTTCCATTAATCAGAACAATTTTTCAGGTTATGCTTCTGAGAAGAGGACTGGCGTATTTCAATGAATTAAGCTTTATTTTTACTGAAATTAAAAAAAGCTGTACGCATAAGAGGGTGAAACATTGCAGCTGTTTTTTTGGGGGGAAGTGAGATCTGGCATGAATACAGACGATAAATTTGATAGAAAGGTCTTACAATAAATCTTCAGTATTCTACTAAATATTCAATTTTTCATGCGTTTTGTCTAATTTAATCTGATTTTCTATGGACGATCACTGTACATGTTGATTTCCAATATAAAAAGTAACTTTTATTACTAGTAATGGTATGTTTCGAATCTCTTCCTCCCACTTCACATTTGCTTTTTTTGTGTGCTTCCCAAACTGTTGGATATCCGCAACCTAACTACCACACTAGAAAAGAGAAAGTTACTTTCTAAAAATTGTCTAGGAAAAGTTCCTCTATGTGAAACAGAAAAAGAAAGCCAGAAGGAAATAAAATTATTATGTAATGAATAAGCATGAACAATCAATTAAATCAATTGATAATTATAAATTAATTCAGAATTTAAACAAAAACCATAATCGTAGAATAAAGCAAAAAATATTCAAATATCTTTTTACTCCTCAACAAAATTTCCTGCGAAATCCATGTTTTCGGAACCATTATTCTAGTTTATTCAATATTTGAAATCTGCTTTTCCAGAAGCAGGACGGGCGCCAAACATCGTCGAAAGAGACCATTACAGAGGAGGAGGCTTAACTTGTACGGGCAACGAACGGCCGCACCGACCTCTATGTGATTCCTGGTGGTTCCTCACAGCCGTCCGATATCGCGGCGAAGGTTCTCTGATGCGTTATTTAATGGCTGCGGTGGATACCGAAGCGATATTTTAAGGACGACAATGCTCATCCGCATAGAGCTCTAGTGGTGCAATGTTACCTGGAGAGGGAAGCCTTACCTCATCTGTCGTGGCCTGCTAGATCATCGGACCTGAATCCCATACAGCATGTGTGCGACATGCTGGGATGACGAATAGCAGGTCGCAGTGTACCGCCAGGAACCATCCAGGAGCTCTGACATTGATTAGGCGTTAATGCCTACAGGATTGGGCGTTACTGCCACAACAAAGGATCAGCGACAATATTGCCAACTTGCTTCTCCATTATCAATCATGCATTTCAGATAGAGAGTATCTCGCCCGTTATTAGCGTGACGTTTCCATTGCACATTCTTTCGACCTTCCATGCCGATGTTTTCATTGCACTTTCCACTACCATTTGGACTTTCGGCGATGTGATGCACACAAACCTTTGGGATCAATTTCACACATATCGATTAGTAGTTTTTATTTTATTCCGTGTTTAGATTTTGTTGTTTATCTTTTGAGCAGCAGTGTACATTGTACCTCTATAGTATTAATTTAATGTGTATCTATAACTTGCACTAGTGCACACTAGTGTATCTGTAACTTGTATCTTTTGATTATCTAATTAAGTAAAGAGAGAAGCTGTTCCTTCAAACTTCGGCGCGAGTTAGGCGAGATCTTTGGCAACTTTCATAGTCGAATGGAAACTACATAAGTACAAAACTCTATGAAAAGAAAGCCAGGCAACTTTCCGAATCAAGTATCAGGGATAAAGATAGTGAGCATTGTTTAATTTATTTAACCAGCTATTTTATGTTTGGAAACTTTACTGTCGCTTCTTTCTTTCCCTTTTTCCGCCGGAATGCCTATTAGTTTGAGTGTATATAAGCGATGTTTTGAAAATGTGTTTTAAGATAAAGCGTATTCTGCCTCTTGAAAGGCATGTTACTAGGTTTGCTAGTCTAAGATAAGAGTTGTCCCTATCTTGCATCATATTTCTTGCATCATATTTCCCGATAGTAAATTCACGCCGGTGAAGTCCCAGCCAACTTCCCAAAATTTACTCTGCGTAGCCTTCAGTTATTAGTTGTTTAAATTTAGCTTTACATTTGAATTTCTACCTCGAGTTCTCGCCATAAATGCGACGATTTTTTTCTAAGCACCAGATGTGCCTCTGTTCATATATTTCAGTTTACAATAAAGAATCTTTTACACCAAGTCTCTGTTGTATTTTCAGGCACAGCGATAAGTCGGTTTACTTCTATCAAATGTTTGGTCACAGTTTGTTATAGTGAAAGACTTCAAAGAAAGGGTAAAAATTCTTACTGGAGCTGGTTATTTTAGGCGCATACAAAGTGGGGTAGTTGAAAAAAATCAATGATTATCTGCATGTTGCATATAAAATATTTGGATACTCAGCTGTGGGATAAGAAGTTGAACTTTAAAATATTGCCAAAATCAATACCTGTACTAAATAGACAACTGGTTTCCTTTGAAAATCTTTACCGGTTCTTTTCGATGGCTGTCAAGTTTACTTTCAAAACGACAGTTCAGGGCAGGGATAACATTTGAATAATGAAGCATAGAATAATAGAAGAGGATCTCGATTCCATTATATTGGTTTTCAAAATATGCGTTAATGATTAAAAGGGAAAGAGAGGGAGATTCGTATTGCGCCGCGAGAAGTAAAATTATTTACTTAAAAATAGATAATAAATATACTCACGAGGTGAATCTCTGGCAGGCGAGGATACTTCTGGTACAGGACTCATGTAGACTCCTCTACTTCCAAGACATAAAAATGGTGTTTTTGCATCTGTTGTAGTCGATGCAGCCCTGTAACATACAGAAATATAAATTATAATTCAACAAAATGCACCTTTTATTAAACAAGAAAACAAAATAAGTGTTATTACAATGGGAATTTCCCGTAAAAGTATTAATTTATATATACTTTGCCGTTAGGAGGCACCATAGTGGTGTCATGTGGAAAGCTGGCATACAAATGCCAGTGTTTCCATGTTGGTATCGCGTGCAAGGAGGAGGACAAATCTCGGTGTTATCATGGTAGATTAATACACAAAGCGGAAGAAAAATATAGATGTTGCCAATAAGTGTCGTATAAAGCTCGGTGTTATCTTGTTGGTGTCGTGCATAAACGGCGGACGAAGGTCGGCGTAAAAAAATTAGTGTCATGTGCAAAGCAGCATACAAAGATCGATATTACAGCATGGGATCTTCTACAAAGCAAGCGATAGAGAAAAACGTCTATATTACCAAGTTAGTGTTGTGAACAAAAGAGCCGACAAAGCTCGGTGTTACCAAGGTGGTAAAGAGTGATAAGCGACTAACAAAGATTTGGAGTTACACGTTGTTATCACGTACAAAGCGACAGACAAAGGTCGTTATTACCGAGTTAGTGCGCAATAGGGTGGACAAAGATTGGCATTATTACATTGTTGTCGTACACAAAGCAATGGTTAAAAGTCGGTACAAGGAAGATTAGTGTCATGTGTAAAACAAAGGGAAAAGATCGGTGTAAGTATATTTAGTGTCATGCCGATCAAACTTTGGTGTCATACACAAATCAGGTGCCACGTCGTTTGCATATCTAACATTCCAGTTCTTAGTTTTTAGTAAAAAATGTAGTAAGTGAAACCCTGTAATAATAGTACGTTTTTACAAAATGAATGCGTTGAAATTTATCCGATATTCGCTTTGAATTAAAGAATTCTGAAGCAAAAAAAGAATATCTTATGTGTTGAGATGCAGATATAATTTAGTATATAGAACTCTTGGGAAATACATGTGTGAAGAAATCCACAAAATCTGCAGCTGCTGAGTGATATATATCAGATAAAAGACAAAGTGACTAAACAAATATCAGATAAAAGACAAAGTGACTAAACAAATAACAGATAAAAGACAAAGTGACTAAACAAATATCAGATAAAAAAACGTAACGGGAGAGACAAGAACCAAAATTAACAGATTTTTGTAATGGAATGTGTCTGCAAAAATGGCTCATTGAAGTGGCTCGCACAAAGAATGAAGATGGATTCAATGCTTTTATCTACCGCTCAACAGGTAGCAGGGTACTACTGAGCGATGGATAAATGCGTTAAGCTAGCGTAAATCGTCATCCTCCGTGCGATTTTCCTGTGATATACATAATTACACAAGCGGGAACTTCCCAGATATGACATTGAGGTGCGAAGGAAAACGAAGCACCTTCTCAAAAGGGGTACTTGCAAATTTTTGTCTTTACTTCCTTTGAGCTGCCTTGAGTGGGAAGAGTCGTTAGTGATGCCGACTGTTAGGTCTATGTTCTAATCTTGGAGAAGGTAATGAATGTTTGCAAGTGTATAAGTGCTTTTGCGGCATGGAGACACTTTAAAATACTGGCCAGTCGAAAGTCCTCTCGAATGTTTATTGGAGGTGTTAAGGTAACGCGAATGAGCGTAATATTCATTCGGAGGGCTAGTTTCGGAGGTTTAAATATAGAACCTTCTTCATCTTCAGAAAAGCAAATGGCCGCTCAGACACATGCTATTCAAATTTCATAGAGGAAATGATGATTTACGTCAGCAGAACGTTTTGACCTACCGTTCATCAGCGTCCCGTACTATCGCAAAGTGCCATTTTCACATATACATCCAATTACGAAAACTTCTTATTATTTCCCTTTCTACCTCCCTTTACAGTTTCGGCAGATATTTTTGAGTCGCTTGTATATAATTAAATAACGGTATCAACACAAAGACATTTTAAACACACATGTGAATGTCAAAGTGCTAACGAAAAGAGAAAGACTGTTTGAAGAATACTAACTTTCATTTGGTTGTAGTTTCTTCTGTAGTTTGTGACAATTATTTCTAACCCTTAGTTTCTAACTTAAATTGTATCTTATTTTTCTTGACTCGTCACAATACTCGCTCAAATCTAATAGTTCTTACCAATTATACAAAGGCATAATTTAAAAGCAGAATCTTAATATTAATCATGAGTATATGGCAATATTCCTCTGATATTTTAGTTTATACACACACTGGCCACTGAATTAAAAACCCAAGATCAATATTTTAATGGACCACCTTTTGCACGGATAACTGCCTTGATTCTTTTGGGCATCGAGTCTACATACTTCTGTAGTACATTTACGTCCAGAGAATACCATGCATTGGCTATGCTCCTTTTTAGATCTTGTAAATTAGATGGAAGAGGAGAGTGCTGTCGGATGCATCTTTCCACCATATCCCACACATTTTCTATGCAGTTAAGATCCAAGCTATGCAGTGGCCAGGGAAGGTGTTGGAAGTCAGACTGACGTTCAGCGAACCAATTTTGAACACTTCTGGAGCGATGTATAGTTGCAATAATGTCCATGAAGTATTCGTCGCCATTAGTGTCAAAATGCAACATTGCAGGGTGCACTTGATCTGACAGTATATCTCATGGCTGTTTGTTTACCCTCGAGGAATACCAGAGCTCCACTTTCATACCAGCAGAACATGCCCTATATCATGATACTCCTACCAGACCCTTGCACAAAGCCAGTTAGGCAAGATGAATTCATGGCTTTATATGGTTCTCGCCAAATTCAAAATCTTCCATCAGTGCAAAATAAGGTGCAGCTTGATTCGTCTGGCCATATTTTCTCTTTCCCAGTCCTCAGATGTTCAGTGTCTTCTTTCCCGACACCACTGCAAACGAATTCTTGCATGTCGGGTAGAAAAGAGTGGTTTTCTCACAAGCACCTGACTATGCATTCCTATTCTCTGCGCATGGTTCGAGCTGCAATGTGTTGGGAAGAGCCTTGGTTGACGATCTGTGTCAGTTGAAGCACATTAGAGTCCCTGTTTTGCCGTACAATTCGTCGGAGACGACGCCGATCACTCACTTGGAAAACTGTGCTCGAACCGCAGTCACGTCTTCTACAAAAGGAATGTGGGTTCTGAGCCCAATTTTTGAAAACCTTTGATATGGCTGCTTTTGAGAACTCAGTGAGATTTGCTGTCTTTGAAATCGGGGCCCTTGCTTAACGGGCACCAACAATAAGACCTTTCTCAAACAGTGAAAAACCTGTCGTTTCCCTAATTTTGCTTCATTCATCGTGAAAAGGATTTTTACACCTTATTTATACTAGCATTCTAACCACATGTAACCCACGTCATAAAAAAAATTTGCATACTTCATCTCTAGCATGCATTCAAATGAAAATATTAAATTCTAAATTAAAGGTGACACAAGTATTAGTTTAGCTATCTTCAAAGGGTACCCGCTGTTCAGATTAAGTTAGGATTGACTTTTCTCTTTCCCGGCCACGTGCCTTCCGAAAGTGAATGAAAGAGCATCCAGCTAGGAATCGGAAGGTCCAGAATTCGAATCTTTACAAAGGTATATTTTCTAAAATTTCGTGTTCCAATATAAATGGAGCCCAAACTAAAAATGTAATGGATGATAATTCGTCACTTACAAGGATTTGGTGACTGAGTGCCTTCTCTGCAGTCGTCATTTAGGTAGGGAAGAATACATTGAATTTTCTTCTTTCACATTGCTTGCTTTCGAAATGTAACTAGAAGCATGTCTGCCTAGTATAGTAAGGTCCGAATTTTGAATTTAAACAACAGCCCCGCTGATTTCCTCAGTTTTCTCGGCTTCAAAATAATTCTAAGTATTCAACAGTAATACTAAAATATGGTGACCGATAAATCGTCCCACTGGAAACTGGCGAGTGGATCCTCTTTCTCCCCACTCGCCCTTTAAGTGGAAAAGAAAAAAAATCTGCTTTATAACTGCGTGCCTTCGAGGTGTAATTGGAAGCACGTCCCACTAGCAATCGGGAAGTCCAGATTTCGAATCCCATCGAATGCATCGTTGATTTTTCATGTTTCTTGCTTGGAAAACCTGATGACTTTACACCGCTACAGTTTAAATTATTCACTTAATATTTATTACAAAATTAAATTCTCATTTATTCCTCATCTTGAATTTAAAAAAAAAAAAGAGGCTAATCTTTGGAATATGGTAACAGGTAGTTTGGCGACATTTTGGTGGTAAGGCGATAACGGTTACTAGGTAGGACTTTAGCAGTGTACATGGATAAAGTCAAGAGTGTGCGCAATGCCATTTTTGTGCAATTCTGGGATGTTTTTTTAAGTGAAAATAGGTCGACGTGTACATGGATACCGTGTGTGTGCAATTCTTAAAAACGCGGCAAACAGTTTGCGATTCTGCCCTTTCTCCCAATTTCGCACCTAATCTTCGTCATGATTAAGCACCATAATTGAAAGATTAACCAAAAAAACTATAATCATTGTTATAAATATTTAAATCTTTTTCAGTGTATTTGTTCCCGTATTGCTGCGCTATGGTGTACTTATTTATTTATTTATTAAGTTTATTTGTTTACATTGTTAAATCTTTTTCAGTGTATTTGTTCCCGTATTGCTGCGCTATGGTGTACTTATTTATTTATTTATTAAGTTTATTTGTTTACATTCATGTTAATAATTTTAGGATTTATTTCGTGTGTAACTGAATTTCTAGCAATATCTTTTGTATATAAGCGCTTATTTTTTGTACAGAATTGTAGACCTTTCAATTCCAAATCCAGCGATGTTTAAATATTTAAAATGGATTAGAACGCGAGATATGGGCAACAGTGCGCCTGACGGTTCTTGGCTTACTTACCTCTGAGGTGTATGTCTTCAATTTGGTGCATTTGAAAATCTCTCAACAAACTGGCGACTATGTGGAAGTTTCGGGAAAACGCATATTTGAAGTGCTAGTACTGATCCCCGAATCTTCCAAAAGCTTATTCTACATCATACAAA